ATTGGAAGAAATTATAAGCAGAGAAAAGGTTTACGAGAGGCGGAGTTTTGTACCCTTTCGAAAACTACGTGAGCTTAACTTACGCGTTTTGGAGGAACTCAAGAGTTTCTACTGGGAAAGGTTGGAATTGCCAAGTCTAAAGAGCATGATAATATTTAAGTGTCCAAAGCTGAAAAAGCTGCCATTTAACAAGGAGAGGTTGAAGGGCATTGATATACAGGCAGACATAGAATGGTTGAGAGGACTTGAGTGGGAAGATGAAGCTACTGAAGACTAAGGTGAATCCATCCGTAATCAGGTAAAAAAAAAAAAAAAAGCATATAACATATGATTGTCAGTGTTTTTCTTACATCAACCTTTACTTCACTTCTGCTTTGATATTCTCAGGTCTCTCTCAAATAGACATGCAACTCGTCAACTCCACAGCTTCTGAGGTAATCCATTTCATTGAGTTGCGACAGACCGTTTTGTCTTCAGCTCCTGTAACTGCTTCGTATTTTCTTGTTTCATGTTATTGTTGTTCTGAATTTGGTGTGAAGAAACTTTGTGTGCGGCTTGGGTGTTTTCTATTTATTGTTATTTTACTTTCTGAAGTGTGAGTGATACCTCAAAATACTTTGGACCAAAAATAAATAAACTTGTTGTGTTGTGTGATGTTGTATGATTTTGCGTGGTGAGTATAAATTTGGTATAAAGTTAGTACACTTAAAAAGAGGATTTTGACCGTTTTGATTACAGTTACACTTGCAACACAATACAAAATGATTTGGTTTTCAATATTACACCCTCACAAGCAAAAGTTTCAAAGAGGTTTTCAACACACACTTCTCAGTGTCCAGCTCCGAGTTCGTGTTCATAGGTTTGGCTGATCATGCATCAGGCAACATGATGCAGTCAATGGCTCGTTTGCATATTCCTGTCATCGTTGCTTCTGGTCCATATACCTACATTCACCAATCCTTATGAAGATCAGTATTCTACCTAAACCGAAAGCTGAACAAGTGTTATTTTCATGTTTCTTCTGAGAAATTCTCTGGCAGATTGTGTTTCACCAACCACCATTTCTTCTAGATTTAAAGTCTTATTAACACTTTTGCTAATACTCCATAAGTAGTCTTAGGTTATTATTGTGTTGATAAATGATAATACTAAGGTCAAATTTAATTTTCGATGAAGTATAGCCCGAAACAGTAAACAATAACAGAAACTCTGAGTTTGACTGACAGAGGCTGTAACTTTAGTTTTTTTTTTGGCGTCCCTGTAGTTTTTTTTTTGCTTTAATTTAGAATGTAGATTTGTGGCTTTAGTTTTACATTTTGTCGGTGTATAATTTTTGAAACTAACTATAAAACTTTGGTTGATTTGTAAAAAAATCTATTTCCTTTCTAAGACTTTTTTTTGGTTGTAGTTTTAAATTTTTTCTTAACAAAGCATCGTTAGTAATAAAATTGGCGGTAAGAAAAAATTAAAATCTGTTCAAAGCACTTACCATTCGTCTCCAAAGTCATGAATTCGTTAGCTGTCTTTAAATTGATTGATAAGGACAAGTTTATATTATACGAACAAGACCAGAGCCTGCTTGCTACTTTAGTTTCTGTACGTTCTTATTGAGATAAGGTTAACCTCCACCTCTCAATATTGAAGTTATTCTACCTCCTTATCTCTATAGTTCTTTAGTTTCAACGAGTGCTTGGTATTCTTCTTCTTGTTTCCATTTTGATCTTCTCTTCTGCTTTTTTTTTTCTATTGAAACACGATGTGGAACGTAGTTTCAAGCGTACTTTCATTCTGCTTTCAACCTGCAAGAAATTTGTTTCTTGAACAGACCAAGTATATACTCAAACTGGAAGATCATCTTGAGGCTTTGGAAGAGGTTTCGTTAAGCCTCACAGCAGTGAAGGATGACTTGCAGAACCAAATCGAGATGGAAGAACGGAAAGGTTTGAGAGTGCTCAAAGAATTCAACGATTGGCTTTCAAAAGTCGAAGCCATCCAGCCAAAGGTCACTAAACTGCTTGAAGATAGTACTGCAGAAATCGACAGATTGTCTATGTGCGGGTACTGCTCCAGCAACTTGTTTTTAACCTATTGTTATGGTAAAGATGTATTCGCAACGTTGGAGAGAGTAAAAAGTATTATGTCCTCAAAACCTTCTGGCGACGTGGCTAGGATGGGTCCTCCACCTGGTATAGTGAAGATAAACACTCAACCCACAGTCGGTTTAGAGAAGATGCTTGATGCTACATGGAGCCGTCTCATGGACAAGGAAGTTGGAATCTTGGGTCTCTACGGTATGGGTGGTATAGGGAAAACCACACTTCTCAAACAAATCAACGACAAGTTCCTTGAGAAAAAAAATGAGTTTGGGGTCGTGATATTTGTAGTGGTGTCTCAAAACCTACAAGTTGAAAAGATCCAAAAGGAGATCGGTAAAAGACTAGGCCTCTGTGACGAGGAGTGGGAGAAAAAAGATCAAAACGAGAAAGCCACTTGTATAAAAGATGTTCTTACAAGTAAAAGATTCGTTATGTTATTAGATGACATATGGGAGAAAGTGAAACTAGAAGAGATTGGAATTCCATTTCCCTCACGAGAAAATGGAAGCAAGGTTGTCTTTACCACTCGCTCGCAAAAAGTTTCCGGGCGAATGGGAACTGATGACTTGGAAGTCAAGCAACTAGACCCGGAGAATTCTTGGGAACTATTCCGACAGAAAGTTAGAGCTAACACACTTGAAAGGGATCCAAAGATCCTCGAGCTAGCAAAACAAATATGTGAGAAATGTCAAGGCTTACCCCTAGCACTCAACGTTATTGGGGAAACAATGGCATGCAAAACATCAGTACCCGAGTGGCAGGATGCCATTGATATTCTAAATACAAATGCGACCAGCTTTCCAGAAGTTAAAGACGAGATTCTTAAAGTTCTGAAGCTTAGCTATGATGATCTTAAGGACGATACAGTACAGCAATGTTTCCAGTACTGGGCTTTAATCCCAGAGGATGAACAAGTTGGTAAAAACACTTTGGTCCATCACTGGATATCGGAGGGGATCATAAATGGAGGTGGAGATAGAGAAAGAGATATCAACCACGGACATAGTATAATCGGTATCCTAGTTAGTGCATGTCTGTTGATGCCTGATGACACTTTTCCTTTAGAGGCAGTAACAATGCATGATGTGATTCGCCAAATGGCTCTTTGGGCTGCGTCTAATTTTGGGGAAGAGGAAGAGAAAGTTATCGCCAAGACAGGTGCTGGACTGCAACAGATGCCTGAGGTTAGGAACTGGAATGCGGTGAGAAGGATGTCACTGGCAAAAAATAAGATTCAGAACATCTCCATCTCTCCGGTGTGTCCTAACCTTACCACATTGTTGTTATACGAGAACAATCTGGTGAACATCTCAGGTGAATTTTTTCTATCGATGCCGAAGTTAGTGATTTTGGATCTATCTGACAACAAAAAACTAACCAAGTTGCCAGAAGAAGTTTCAAACTTAGTGAGCTTGAGACATCTTGACTTATTAAGAACAAGTCTAGAGAATTTGCCTGTAGGATTGGAAAAGTTGATTCAGTTGAGATATTTTGATTTGAGTGGAGTACAAACTCTTGAAAGCATCAGTGTGATATCAAGTTTGGTAAATATAGAAATGCTATTCTTACATGAAGCTTTTTTTTTAAGTCTGGAGTTGATAGAGGATATCAAGTTACTGAGGAATTTGAAAGGCTTGGGGGTAACTATCAATAATATGGTTGTTTTAGAACGTCTTTTAAGTATCCCTAAATTGGCTAGCTGTATCCTATATATAACTCTGGAGGGAATTGTAGCAAAAGACGGTCCGTTGCAGTTTGAAGCGGCAATGGCTAGCCTTAACAGTATCGTGATACGAGAAAGTTCCATCTCTGATATAGTGGAGCATACGAGATATGGATGCAGAAGTACAAGTGCCATATCCTTCCAAAACCTCAGCCTTGTCAGTTTTTCTGGCGTCAGTGGTATACAGGATTTGTCGTGGTTAATCTTCGCTCCAAATCTTACTATAGTATTTGTAGATGGGCCATCACCGGAGTTGCAAGAAATTGTAAGCAGTGAAAAGGTTTCTGGTGTACTACACAAGGGATCGAGTATTGTACCCTTTCGAAAACTACATACGATTAGCATAGTCAACTTGGAGGAACTGAAGAGTATCTACTCAAAACTGTTGGAATTGCCAAGTCTAAAGTACATGAAGATACAAAACTGTCCAAAGCTGAAAAAGTTTCCAATTAGCACGAAGGTACTCGACTTTATCCAACGTGTAGACATATTTGCAGACGAAGAATTGTGGGAAAAGTTGGAAGATGGAACTACTGAAGACTAGGTGGATCCACCCATGTCAGGTAAAAAAAAAAAAGCATAAAACATAATTGTCAGTGTTCATCTTACGACTTGATGTCTGCTTTGATTTTCTCAGGTCGCTCTCAATTAGACATACAACTCCGCAGCTCACAGCTTCTGAGAGCAAAGTTGCAACTGTTTGTATTCAGCTCTGTGATTGTGTCGTATTTTCTTGTCTCATGATTATGATTGCTTTGTATTGGGTGTGAGGAAATCATATGCGCCTTGGTTGTTTTTCTATTTATTTTTACTTCACTTTCTGAAGTGTGAGTGATACCTCAAAAATAAATAAAGTTCTTGTGCGATATGAATGATGTTGCGTGGTGAATATAAATTTGGTGTAAAGTTATTTGTATAAAATCTTATTTGTACACTTAAAAAGACGATTTTGACTGTTTTGATTACTGTTACACTTGCAACACAACCCACGATGATTTGGTTTTCAATATAACCACCCATACAAGTAAAAGTTTCAAAGAGATTTTCATTTTCATATGCAGAAAGAGAGATGAAGAACAGGGTTCAAGACACTCATACACTCCTCCCGTCTCCAGTTCCATGTTTGTGTTCTGCTTCTTTTTCTTTCAACTGAAGAAGAGATCATAATAGGTTTGGTTTGATTATGCATCAGGTAACATGATGCAGTCAATGGCTCGTTTGCATATTCCTGTCATCGTTGCTTCTGGTCCATATACCTACATTCATCAATCCTCATGAAGATCAGTATTCAACCTAATAATACTCCATAAGTGAGTTTGGTTACCTCTAGAGGAACACCGAGTTCATCTCCCAGAGCACGCATTCTAGCCAGACCAGTCTGGTAATTAGGACCACCTCTTCTTACGTAAATGTGCATCCTTGATGCTTTCAGTCTTGTTTCCTGCTCATGTCACACACAACAAAAGATACGATACAAATAGCCAAACACCGATTCAATTCTCTTGGGAAATCTCATCTCATCTTCACCAAAATGCAGTAGCAACTCTTAAAGGTTGTATACCTTTTCTCTTAGAGCGCGGATGATACCGTTGAAGGTAGCTGCCACGTCGGTGAAATTGGCAATGCCACCTCCAATGAGAAGAGCTCTTTTGCGCCCATCAGGATCAGCAGTAGCACACTGAGAAAGCCACATAATATTTTGTCCATGAATCTATAGATTTGTGTATAGCTACTGGGAAAAGCTAAGTTATTAGGCCTGACTCACATCAATGACAACTCTAGCGTATTGTAACACCTCTTCCTCATTAGGTGCTCCACTATACTCTGCGTAGTTCCCAAGCTCTGATGCGTAGCCTAAATCTCCAACCTTGTTAAAAGCAGATAAACACAATGTGAGGAATTGTTTGGAGTCTTCATAATAACACTTTCTTTCTTTTAAAAAATGTCACCGTATCAGCATATATGACGCTAGCACCGCCTCCAGCTACCATAGTCCAAATGCGACCTTTAGGATTCAGAACAGTGAACTTCAATGAAGCACTTGTCTGCAATAAGTAACACACACACATGTACAATCATTAACATTACTTTCTTTCATGAGTCATAAAAGAAGTGTCTTAAATACCTTCTCATCTAAACCATGGATGAAGCTCTCCGTTGGACTCAGGACCCTTCCAAATGGCAGAGGAAACTCAATATCTCCCCACCTGAGTTGTTAGATCTTATCAAATTCAAAGAATTCAAACATAAACAAATGACTGAGAAATATTTGGCATACTTGTTGAAATTCTTGAAGGCAGCTGTGTCATCTAACTCTCCCCTCATGTCTAGAGGATATGGCTCTCCATCGACTAGCGTAAAAGGATTCATCTCCATGAAACAGAAATCTAAATCTTCAAAGAGAACACAACAAATAATAAGCTAAGGCTCTCAGAGTTCTTGTAACACAACTATAGGTATTTGCACAAATGCTTGAAAAATCAAGAAATGGCCTCATCTCTTATATATACATACCTTGAAATACAGCAAACACTCCCATTATGAAACTGCCTATTTTACCTCGAACCTGAAAATGTATAGAAACATTAGTTAAGCCTTAGCATAACTCTTTAACAACGCAGTATAACAAAAACTTACTTCAAGAGGAAGTGTTGCTATCAAAGGAGCACATACTTCAAGTGTCATTGATTTTTCCGCAGGAAGAAACACAGTCTTCACCTGTTGACACCACAAAAAACACAAGTTCTCCATGTGAAAATTCTGCTATAGTTACTGGGAGAAAACAAATCAAAAAGGTAGTAGTAACCTTGTCCCAGTTCTCTTCAATTTCAATGCCACCACATTCAGAGAAACTTATAGTGCAGCCAAGCCTATCAGACACTATGGAAAGATAGTATTCTTGATCATGAGGCACAAAGGGCTCCACAATGAATGTAGTGATAGGAGCTTTACATCCACCCATCTCAACCTTCACACACATAGAATTAAAAAAACAGCAAAAAACAAACATTAAACAATATAGCAAGATTCAACCCTCATTTTTCTATTACTCAGCTTGAGATCAATCACCTCAGAACCTAGGCGGGCTTTGACAAACTCTGCAACTTCAGCAAGATCCAGCTTCAGAGCTACCAAACCACTTTTCCCGCGTTTTCCAAACAGCATATCAGGCTTCACAACTAGCTTTGTGGTAGAGAGCCATGACTCCTCGTTGGTCAACTCAGTGAAATTAGTAGATTCTGTCACCTGCAAGTAACAGAGAGAAGAAAAAAATAGTTTTCAACTTCAAATGTTTCTCGTTGGTTCCAAACATAGTAATCATCAAAAGCAGATGCGATGAAAACAAAGCTATAATATTTTGGTGAGGGAGACAGACCTGAGCAGAGTGGATTTGGAGGTTAATGTTAGCGAGACGTTTCAAGTGTTCCTTGAGAAGTCTCTTGGAGTCATACTCTCTGATCTTCTTCCTCGCCATCGAGTTTCAAACTCAAAAAACTTCAAAGAAAAAAAGACAAAATAATAAGGGAAATTCAGAATCTGAAACAGAGACAGTAAGTTTTAAAGATAGTGATCGTCTGAATCATACAAGTGTTTAGCAGAAAAGGTGACAAGTTTAGAGAAGATAAGATCGAGGAGTTGAGTAACAGGTGATCTCACCAAGAGGCAACAACAAGACAGAAATAGAGAGAGAGAAAAGCAGACGCCGACTCGAAACCAGAAGAGACGTTGACGTTTAAGTGCTAAAGTCAACCCACCCACCCCCGCCTAAACCATTATCATATTCCTTTTCTTCAATAACCAACCGGTTTACTCGAACCAAAAAATAGCCAGTAAATAACTAAATTAATTACAGTCAAACCTCTATAAATTAATAATGTTGAGACAACAATTTTTGTTTTATTAATTTATAATGATTAACCAAAAACTCAATTTAGAATTATAAAATTATTTATATAGATTTTTAGTGCATATTAGTATAAAGAATATTAATTTAAAGAAGTTATAGGTAAACAGAAAACTAGAGAAGTTAATCTTGTTCTGTCTTTCACTTAGCTAATAGCTATAAACACATGGAAACAACCTTTGGTTAGTAGTCATGAGCTACTATGTCTCTCACTCTCACCGGTTGCTTGCTTCCCTTCTCTCAATCAGCGACGGCTCCTTCTGCCTCCACCTGTTCTTGCCATCTCGCCACCGCCTCTTTTTCTAATTTTCCGGTAAAGCACATGTACTCTCCTTACCTCCTTCACCTTTCTTTGCATGTAAATGATCTATGAAAAAGATCAGTAGGTAACTAGTTCCCTTGGTTTAAACTAACTTCTCTGACATAGATACTGAGATCTTAGGAAGTTCAAATCGTGTTCTTTGCTTCTGAAAATCTAAGCTTAGTGTTATAAATTTAAGGACTTGATATAAAAGGAACTTGATCTCTGCTCCAGTTATTAAAATTCTAATCCTTTTTTTTTTGTGTGTGGGACTGAGTAGGTTTCGTCAAGAGAGTACCTTAGTTCCTACAGGAATGAAAGCTTTGTGCTCAACGGAGGAGGCTCAAATCTTAGCAGGAGATTCTGTGGGATGAAACTGTGGATACTTAAAAGCCTGAATCTTAGAAAAGGCAGCCACAGAAAGCATCAGCCTCTGAAAGAGCTTAAAATAAACTCAGAGCACACTTTCCTCAGCGTTCCAGGTTTTGCTGAAGAAACTGGAGCTTCAGATTTAAGACCAGAAGAGATTATTCTAGGAACTGATTTGGTTACTGGTTCTAACAAAGCTGGGGATACACCATCTGTCTCAAAACAGTTCTTGGACGGTCTTTCAGATGTTCCAAGAAGAGCCTCACTTTGCATTGCTGTTGTTGGAGCTACCGGTGAGCTAGCAAGAGGGAAAATTTTCCCTGCTTTGTTTGCCTTGTATTATAGCGGCTACCTTCCTGAGGTATAGTGCTTGTGATCATCAAAGTCAAGTTTATACTTCTTTTGATTGGTCTATATTGTCACAGGATGTAGGTATATTTGGATATTCAAGAAAGAACCTGACAGATGAAGACCTCAGATCCATCATTGCATCAACTCTGACTTGCCGTGTTGATCATCAGTATATATATATTCTTTTTCTTAACATAAGTTTGATAAACTTTGTTCATTGACGTGCTAGCTAAAGATTGATGTTACATGTTCAGGGAAAACTGCGGGGACAAGATGGATTCCTTTCTTAGTAGAACATACTATATCGATGGAGGTTATGATAACAGGGAAGGGATGTCTCGACTTGACAAGAGAATGAAACAGATTGAGGTTTGTCTTTGTATGTTTTCAAACATTTGGAAAGACAAGCAAAGACAGTTTGATGCATTACCAGTTTCATTCTTTAGGGAGTATCAAAAGCGAATCGGATATTTTACCTCTCAGTGCCTCAAGAAGCTCTTGTGGATGTGGCGTGCAACATTGGAGATAAAGCTCAGGCACCACACGGCTGGACTCGTATAATAGTTGAGAAACCTTTTGGTTTTAACTCACATTCTTCTCATCAGTTGACACAGTCACTTCTCTCTAAGTTTGAAGAGAAGCAGATTTACAGGTCTTTCTTCTAAATCTAGTTGCTTGTATGCATGCACAGTTCATTTTTCTTTACGGTTTCTGTGTGTTTCTCAATCGCAGGATAGATCATATGTTAGGAAGAAATCTCATTGAAAATCTGACTGTGTTAAGGTTTTCAAATCTGGTTTTTGAACCATTATGGAACAGAACATATATACGCAATGTACAGGTAGTGTCTTTTCCCTATGTGTAGTTCATGTAACTTTCTTCTTCCACATTCTGAGTTAATCACTCTGTCTACAAATGACATTTTCAGGTTATTGTATCAGAATCAGTTGCACAAACAGAAAAGTAAGGCATAGTAGTTGCATGTGAAAGTAGATAATGTTGTTTATACATGCTGAGACAACGAAATGGCATCAATTATGTTAACTTCTACTGCTTTTCTGAAGGTATTCTGATGGATATGGCATAATACGGGACATATTTCATAGCCACATACTTCAGACAATTGCATTACTCACCATGGAACCTCCAATAAGTCTTGATGGTGAAGATATCCGCAATGAGAAGTTTAACCTGCACAAACAAAGAACAGTATAGTCTTATGGTATATAGATAAGGAGTTTAGTCTTTATCTGTCTAATGACCTGGTGACAACCTTCTTCTTCAGGTGAAGGTTTTGAGATCAACTCGCAAATTAGATCCTGCTGATGTCATCCTTGGACAGTATAAATCAAGTTCTGGAGACAAAACAGACACTATCTTGAAAAGTGTAGACCTTACTTACTGTGCTGCAGCCTTGTATATTGATAATGCTCGTTGGGATGGTGTACCATTCCTAGTAAGAGTTGGCACTGGCCTCATTAAACACAGGTAAGAGTTAATAACTCATACTCATGGTAACATACCGGTATGTATCAGCTGACATATAGCAAATGATTTGGTGTGCTTTAAATGTTTAAAAGAGTGGAGATCCGTGTGCAATTCCGACATGTTCCTGGAAACATATACCGAGATAACATTGGAATCAACATAGATTTGGGGACAAATGAGCTTATCCTACGCGACGAACCTGATGAAGCCATCCTGGTGAAAATCAACAATAAGGTTCCTGGTTTAGGTCTTCTGCTAGACGCTTCTGAACTTAACCTGCTCTATAAAGACAGGCGAGTTTTACTTTCCTCATCTGTGTTACCTTCACATTTTGAATTAGTGAGCCTTGTGGTTTATTTGCATTGTTGTTGGTTCAAAACTATAGGTATAGCACGGAAGTACCAGATTCATATGAGCATTTAATTCATGATGTAATTGATGGAGACAACCATCTGTTCATGAGAAGCGATGAGGTTGCATCAGCATGGAACATTCTGAGTCCGGTTCTGGAAGAGATAGACAAGCACCACACAGCTCCTGAGTTGTATGAATTTGGTGGACGTGGACCTGTTGGAGCATACTATCTCTGGGCCAAACACGGCGTCCCATGGGCTGATGACTAGAAGGAGAAACATAGACGCAGAACAACTAACAAAGCTTTACATTCTGTTCAGTATGGTTATTGTGAAGTGGTTAAACTAGCTTGAAGCTACTTGTAACACATGTATGACATGTTGCTATATGAATGTCTATCATGGTGGGGTCTCCATAATTGTGTTGAAAATTCTCTAAAGCCACCCAAAGAGAAAAGTATGAGAGAGTTTTAGATAAGGTTGTGTTGTTGGTCTTCCCACTAGAGGCAGGTAATTATATCTTCATCAATTCCTGCAGAAAAATTCTTCCTCATCTATCATGTTGCTTCACTGTACTCAAACCAAATAAGAGAGGAGAGACAGATAGAGAGTAGGAAGAAGATTGTTTAGTGAGTGGTGTCATGGATGATAGAGATAGAAAGAAGATGAAAATGGATAAGGAAGAAGACGAGAAGATGGAGAAGCTGTACACATTGCTTAAAAATGCAAGGGAGATGCGGAAGCACGTCATCAGCTCTATGGAGAAGAAGAGACTGGAAGAAGAAGAAAGAGCGAGGGTTCACAGATTCCCTACGTTTCAGCCAGAGGATTTCATTTTCAAGAATGAAGCAGAGGCCAAGAACAATGAAAATGCAGCAGGTAGTGCAAGCTCTTCAGCATCTAACAAAGAGAAAGAGGAAGCTGAGACTAACGTTTGTTTAGACTTAATCTTTCTCTGTAGCTGACGAGCCATCAAAATGCTCCTCAATACAAAGAAGTAGTAACTATGTAACAAAAAGAAATATGCTTTTGGATGCTACTTTTGGTTGAAGGAATAAGGTAATTAGTAATTTTGGTTGCAAAGAAATGGTGTTAAAATGTTAGTAAGTAGTGATTTTGTGAATCAATCAGCTAATTTAAAATCAGTTATAATGTGTTCAACCACTACCTTATTTCTTCAATTAGCTCTCTGATGATCAAGTGGTGTTGTATGGTCAATATGCTTCCTCTCCTAAACCGTGCCAGGCATAACTATATAAGATTTAACTCCATATCATCTGCTGTTTGAATATTAATTTACATAAACCTCGAGTTTTATAATACTGCACAACAAAGCAATGCTCAGAAACAAAAGTTGATGAACATAGAAAGAGAATATACTCGTTGGAACAATCTAGCAACTCGTATAATTTTTTTTAGATTATCATTATACTATTAGAGCAACTATGCATTTATTTTATCGGTGTGACGTTATTAGTTATAGGTGGAGAAGGCATTTTAGCCACTTGTGTTTTTATGACAGACATTGAACCCATTTTTACCTACCGAATCTTCTTCAGATGCAATCTTGACAATATGATTGAGACTCGAGTACTTTGACTTTAAACTTCTTGTTTTTCACCGTGAGATCAAACTTCAATCTTTCTCACAGATTCTTTAGAGTTCTTGAAAGATGGAGAACTCTGCAACCAATCATACCATTCCCCTTCTCACACCATTCTCAATGAGAAACTTCAATCTTTCTCACAGGTTCTCCTTAATCTCTTACTAAATCAGCGTTAATCACATTAGCTTCCCTTTTGTCTTGTCTGAATGAAATGATTACAAAAAAATCAGAATAGTTATGGCACCGATGGCGAGGATGAGATCATATGGTAACGTTCCACAACCACACGCCGTCTTGTATTACTCTCAGAGATCAACTCCGGGAGGTCTTCTCATCAGCGAAGCCACTGGAATTTCAGAAACCGCCATGGCGTAAAGTCCTTTTTTACCATAGAGTTGACTTTTTGCTCTGTTTATGAGTTATGGTTGACTTTTTTGTGTGACAGGTATCATGACATGCCAGGGATATGGAAGAAAGAACAAATCGAAGCGTGGAAGCCTATCGTTGACGCCGTTCACTCTAACGGCGCCGTCTTCTTTTGTCAGATCTGGCACGCTGGTCGCGTTTCTCATCGAGGTTTATATAAACAAAAAAGCATACTCTGTTAGGGTTTGAGATTGTTAGGTTTTGTTACGTGTGTATTAAGAAACTAATAATTTTTACTAGATCGTCAGCCAAATGGTGATTCAAAAAAAGAAAAACAAACTCTGTTGTTTTTTTTTAGGTTTGAAAGCGTTCAATCTTGTTACGTGTGTTCATGGTGATGCAAGAAAAAACAATTCTCTTTTAGGGTTTGAAATTGCGAAATCTTGTTACGTGTGTGCTAAGAAATTGATATTTTACTAAGTTATCAGCCAAATGGTGAAGCAAAAAAAAAACAATTTTCGTTAGGTTTGAAAGCATTCAATCTTGTTACGTGTGTTCATGCAAGAAAAAACAATTTTCGCTAGGTTTCTTTTAGGGTTTGAAATTGTGAAACTTTATTACGTGTGTGCTAAGCAATTGATATTTGTATTAGATTCTCAGCCAAATGGTGAAGCTCCGATTTCTTCTACGGACAAGCCTCTCGCCGAGAATTCATCCAGCGAGTATACACCTCCAAGGAGGCTAAGAATCGACGAGATCCCAAACATTGTAAATTACTTTCGTGTCGCTGCAAGAAACGCTATAGAAGCTGGTTTTGATGGAGTGGAGATCCATGGCGCACACGGCTACTTGATCGACCAGTTCATGAAGGACACTGTCAACGACAGAACCGACGCTTACGGTGGATCTCTCGAGAACCGATGTAGATTCGCACTAGAAGTAGTCCAAGCAGTGACAAACGAGATCGGATCTGACCGCGTAGGAGTCAGACTCTCTCCCTTCGCTAACTACATGGAGTCTGGAGATACAGAGCCTCAAAAGCTAGGCGTCTACATGGCTAAGTCTCTGAATAGATTCAAGACACTCTATTGCCACATGGTTGAGCCGAGGATGAAAACAGTTGGTGAGGTTTTCGAGTGCACTGAGTCGCTTACGCCGATGAGGAAGGTTTTTGAAGGAACGTTCATTGTAGCTGGAGGTTATACAAGAGAAGATGGGAACAAGGCGGTGGCTGAGGGGAGAACTGATCTGGTGGCGTATGGGAGACTGTTCTTGGCGAATCCAGATTTGCCAAGAAGATTTCAACTCGATGCGCAGCTGAATAAGTATGACAGAACAAGTTTTTATACTTCTTCTGATCCTGTCGCGGGTTACACTGATTACCCTTTTCTCGAGACCAAATCTTAAGGTCTTGTTTCTTTTTTACTTTCCATTTTTTTTCAGTTGCTGTAATAATCTTACAAGTTGTTAAAAGTATACACTTTGTTAACATTATAGCAATAACAAGTAGTTCACATTATATTTTTGGAGGTTCATTTGATGGCTAAGCTTGCACATTATTAACTCAGCTTAATTCATTGTGTTCCAAAAAAAAAAACTTAGCTTCATTATATGGATAACTCTGAATTAAATTTTCAATTGAACAAAAGTTGAGATGATGTTGAAACCCTAGGAATATCTTTCAACATTTTGATGATGAAATCTTGCTCTTCTGGATTTAACATGGGTGCAAGAGAGATTTTCGCAGTCTTTAAACACTTAGAACTGGTTAGGATGTATGTCAAGAATTGTTTCTCTTCTTCTTTGTATCCATAGTATCTCCATTCAAATATTTTTAGGTGTGACGACAAGCATCCAGGAATAGAACTTGGTTGATTCCATGTAAGTGGGATATCCTCGAGTTCATAGATATATTCCTGAGAAGCAATGGTGCATGGCCGTATATTCAAAAAGAAAAGTTATTATACTACTTATCAAAGCTTGAAGAAAAGGAGGGAGTACTTACATTATTTACCAAAAGTTCTTCGAGTTTTGGAGTATTTACAAGTAAAAGTAAGAGTGGTTCCACCCAGTCTGATATACTTGGATCTACAGATAACCTTATAAGTCGAGAAAATCTCAGGGTGCTACAACGCACAAGCTGTGACAAAACAAACAACAACGTATAAGTAGATGCAACATTGTAAATCACGACAAACAGTCAATACATAAATAAAGAGAGAGCTTACCATTTCATCGGTAAAAGTCAAGTCAAGAGACAAGATCGTCGAAGAAGCTGTTATGATCTTGTCAAAACTAGATAAAGAGTTGACACTAATATCTGCCTCCTCAAGACAAGGCATATTCCTGATCGACCAAGAGTCTCTTGAATGATCAGTGACGGAAATTGTTGTTGACGACGGAGTATCTATAACCAAGCAACTACCCGTATCCAATAGGTCACTATCATCTTGCCACGTTGGATTATGATACCATAAAACCCTTAAAGAAGGCACTTTCACAACAAACTTTGTCAAATTGTCATTCGTCTTTCTTTTCACGGCCAGATATATAAGGACAGGGCAACTAGATAAAAACCTAGCCAGAGAGGACTCGTCTTTATATACCACACAGAAGAGTCGAAGTTTTTTGAGTGATGGGAGGCAGGAACTAGAAGGGATATCCACAAGAATCTTGTAAGATAGAGTCAGTTCCCGGAGCGTTTTGCAGGCGTAAAGGCTCTTAGGCAATCTGGTTGGACCTGCTGTCCATCGAAGCTTGAATTTTACAACGAGCACGCCCCGTTCAACAGCCTTTTCAACCCACTTTCCTACATTAGCATCACTTGGACATCGTCTACCAAGATTGATAAGCAATATTTCTAAGACATGTGCTTTGTGGAGTTCCAGTGACTGGTCCAAAAACCACCAAACACTTCTCTTGCTCTCATCATCATCATCATCATCACTATCAACATTATCATGGTTGTCACCATTGCTTTCATTGTAATCAAGTCTAGGCAACATCATCCATATATAGCGCCATCTTTTGGACAAAATCATGGTGGCTACTGCATCTTTAATCGGGACAAGCAACAAAATCGTCACAAGCAACTCTTCCGGCAAAGCACTGATCCTATCTTCACAATCTGTCTCTTTGGTTTTGGTTTCTGACATCTTCACGAGAAAAGCCATAGGACAAGGAATCGAAAGCAACCAAGGAAATCGTTATGGCCTAAATAATAGATATCTTATTTAGCGCTTATCTACCCTATATAAAGCATTATTATATAATGATTAGATATTTCCCGTGAATACAAAATCCAACTACATAGGTCCCAAATAAATAAGGAATAATGGCGATGAAAAAAGAAACTAATATTAATCTTATCATATAAAGCTTAGTAAGTTTCTACTTATTGATGCAAAAGTAAAGTTACTTTGTGCCAAATAAAAGAAGAAGTAAAGTTACTAATTAATGTAATCACTACATGTGGCACTAAAATAATTACAATTTTTGTTATATATATCAAAATATATAATTTATAATAAAATACATAATTGTAAAATAAAAATATATATTAGAAATAAATAGTTGTTTACCAAAAAAGACAAAACTGTTTGAAAAACAAAGGAAACTATTATACAAACAAAATTACTGTTTTACATATACTTCTTCGCCAACATATTTTTTTTATAGAAATGATACAATAGCTGCTAGTTCTGTAAAATAATGTAAACACAAAAGTATATAAGAAATATGGTTACATAATAAAAACAAAGTTCCTCTGGCACATATTTGTATTGTGCACATACTTGTTGCACAAGGAATCGCGTAATACCTTGGAAGGAAAAGCAAAGTCTTGGCGATGGGATATTTACCATCTGTGAACAATGTAACCGGCAAACGGGATAATGAAGGCAACAAAATTTAGGTGAAAAGACAGTTTGGTTCGTCATGGAAGAGAAATGAATAACCTGATGTCCCTTTTTTAAAAAGAGCCTGGACAAGAATTCAAACAAGATGAGCACAATCGCACAAACCCATAATAAAACGGATACATATAGTGGAATATGATTAGCAATTCGTGAATTTAAATGTAAACTGATTAGACATGAAAGTAAAACAAAACATCTGAAAATTGATCAAGGTTATTGTTATACAAGGGAAGACGGGAACAAGGCGGTGGCTGAGGGAAGAACTGATCTGGTGGCGTATGGGAGACTGTTCTTGGCTAATCCAGATTTGCCAAGAAGATTTCAACTCGACGCGCCGCTGAATAAGTATGATAGAACAAGTTTCTATACTTCTTCTGATCCTGTCGTGGGTTATACTGATTATCCTTTTCTCGAGACCGAATCTTAAGGTCTTGTTTCTTTGTTTACTTTCTATTTTTTTTCAGTTGCTGTAGTAATCTTACAAGTTGTTAAAAAAGCATACAATTTGTTACATTTTATAGCAATAGCAAGTTGTTCTCATTATATTTAGAGGTTCATTTTATTGATAAGCTTGCACATTAACTGAGCTTCATTACATGGCTAAACATATGATAACAGGTCGAATTAAATTTTCAATTGACTAAAAGTTGAGATGATGTTGAAACCCTAGGAATATTTTTCAACTTTTTGATGATGAAATCTTGCTCTTCAGGATCTAACATGGGTTTGATGGAGATTTTTGCAGTCTTTAAACACGTAGAATTGGCTAGGATGTATGTCAAGAATTCTTCCTCTTCTTCTCTGTGTCCATAGAATCTCCATTCAAATATTTTTAGACGTGACGACAAGCATCCAGGAATAGAACTTGGTTGATTCCATGAAAGTGGGATATCCTCGAGTTTATAGATAAATTCCTGAGAAGCAATGGTTAACCATATATTATATATAAAAAAAAGTTACTAGTATTATAACTTGCATCATAGCTTGAAGAAAAGGAGGGTACGTACATAATTTACCAAAAGTTGTTCAAGTTTTGGAGTATTTGCAAGTAGAAGTAAGAGTGGTTCCACCCAGTCTGATCTACTTGGATCTACAGATAACTTTATAAGTCGAGAAAATCTTAGGGTGCTACAACGCACAAGCTGCAATAAAAACAAACAACAACTTGAGTAGATACAACAAAGTAATCACAACAAACACTCTAACACATAGATAAAGAGAGAGAGCTACCATTTCGTCGGTAAAAGTCAAGTCAAGAGACAAGATCGCCGAAGAAGCAGCTGTTATGAACTTGTCAAAATTAGATAAAGAGTTGACACTAATATATGCCTTCTCAAGACAAGGCATATTCCCAATCGACCAAGAGTCTCTTGAATCATCATCGACCTCAAACTTTATTAATGCCGGAGTATCTATAACCAAACAACTACCGCTATCCATTACATCAGTGTCATCTTGCAGCCAAGCTGTATTATGATACGATAACATCCATAAAGAAGACACTTTCACAATAAAGTTTGTCAGATTGTCACTCTTCTTTCTTTTCACGATCAATATTCCAAGGACAGGGCAACTAGATAAGAACCTAGCAAGAGAAGCCTCGTCTTTATATGCCACACAGAAAAGTTGAAGTATTTCGAGTGATGGTAGGCAGGAAGGGGAATAAGAAGGGAAATCAACAAGAACCTTGTCAGATAGACTCAGTTCTTTGAGTGTTTTACAGGTGTAAAGGCTCTTAGGCAATATGGTTGGGCCTGCTGACCAGCGAAGCTTGAATTTTACCACGACAACGCCGCGATCAACAGCCTTTTCAACCCAATTTCCGACATTAGCATCAGTAGGACATCGTCGGCCAAGACTAATAAGCAATATTGCTAAGACAGGTGCTTTGTGAAGTTTAAGTGACTTGTCAATAAAACACCAAATGCTCTTCTTTCTCTCAAGATCACCATCATTATCATCATCATCATCATCATCATCATCATTATCATCATCATCATCATCATTATCATCATCATCCTCATCCCCATCATCTTCATCATCACCATCTTCATCATCACCATCATCATCATCACCACAATCATGATCATGTTTGATATCATTGGTTTCATTGTAATCAAGTCTAGGCAACATCATCCATACATTGCGCCACCTTTTGGACAAAATCATGGTGGCTACTGCATCTTTAATTGGGATAAGCAACAAAATCGACACAAGCAACTCTTCGGGCAAAGCACTGATCCTGTCTTCACAATCTATCTCTTCAATTTTGGCTTCTGACATTTTCACGAAGAAACCCCAAGGAACAAGGATTCGACGTAGCAAGCAACACAATGAAATCGTTATGACCAAAATAATAGGTTTTACCTAGCTTATATAGCCTATATAAAGGGGTTATATATAACGATTTGCATTTCCCAATGAATACAAAATCCAACTTGTTCCTACATAAATAAGAAAGGATTAAAGGCGATGAAAAAAGAAAGAAATATTACTCTCATCAAGTTTATTTAGTTACCAATTATATTAATTGGTACATTTGGCACTAAGATAATGATATTTTTCTGCTCAAATTAAGATAATTATCTTTTGCATGTAGCAAAAATTAATAAGTATAAATAAGATTAAATTGTGAACTAAACTATATATATATATATATATATATGCTAAAAGATATATAGTACTTTCTGAATAGGGAATATCTGCTTAAATTTTTTTTTAAATTAATTATTCAACAAATTACTAATCTTAAGAGAAAAGAATTTCTAATACATATTAATATATATATATTCATCACCAATTTTTTTTTAAAAAATCATACAATAGCTATTTACTATAAAAATAAAATATCTGATTTTGACACAAATTTCTATAAATACAATTATACAATAAATTACTAATATTGTATAAACTAAAATATATGTTTTGTCAAAGAATATACTTCCATTTTTTATAATTTTTTTCTATTTTGATTTTTGACAATTAATTGACTCTATTTTTATGTTTATATTAGGGTATCAATGTAATAAACCACACTAAGAATTAACCTAAGCACGACACGTAAAAAACTGACTTCTCAAATAATATTACAGAGATATATTTTCGTAAATTTGATAGATTTTAAAATTTATGATAAATATAATATAGTTTTTATCCTATTTTAATATAAAATTCATAATAAAATAATATTTATTGAATATGGTTTCTTTTCATTTTAGGATGTATATATGGATGGAGCATTCAGAAAATCCTTTGTTTCTTTAATCCTTTTCTCCAGCGTGACTTCTTGAGCTTTCAGTATCGCCGCCTGAGAGCTGAGTGCAAGTTCCGGCCAGGATAAATGGGAAAGATCAGGCCCTACAGAACCAGTAACATGGGACGGGTGGGCTAAGTTAGTTTGCACCTCAGAGTTTAGGGTTTATGGTTTAGTACATACTCGAATTTTTTTAAATTCGCATTGCGCATAATTGTTTTATTGTAAACACATTCTTTCATCATTAAAGTTGTTATTGTAACCTAAGTATTGAAAGAAATAAAAACTTATAAAAAATCCAAGTAGAATTTAAGTAGAACACAATTTTTATTAAGAAAAAGATTATAAAAAAAAGTAAAAAAAAAATATTCGGTAACAAAACTAAATTAAAAAAAAAAGAAAGCTTATCTTATGATAAAAGTTCTTATTTTATGTGTCTATCTACGTTATGTATTTAAGATTATTATATAAGAAAAAAATGAGATCCAATATATGAGATATTAGTATAAGCGGAAGCTATATTAATTTTAAAATCAAATTTAGACCACAACATTACTTGTAAGTTATTGAGAAGGATGCAGATGCATCAAATTACAAGTTCATTATTATCGAGAAACATCAAATTATAATTATCAAATTATAATAATCAAATTACTTCTTAGCTTAGTCGACGCACTTATTACTTTTATTTTATCCCAAGCTAGGCAAAGTATTTTCATAAAATCCGGTCTTCTTATTACAAATACTAATTTAATATTACAAATAATAACTTATGGTAACTAATTTCAAAATTATAGAAAGTGTAATAATGTTTGCATGATCAGTTCTTTTTATATTTATATACTACATAAAATAATAAATAGAAAATAATTTATAGAAATCAATATATTGATTTCAAATTCTATAAAATACAGTCATATCTGTAATAATTATTAATCTCTTATAATGTTCATAGATGCTATGTAAATATTTAGTATTTGAAGACTGGACGGATTATATTTAACGAAATGTGTGAGAATTTCGATATAATAAATGTTTTGCATTTACGTCAAATAATATAGTGAATAAGGTAACGTTGTGATAGAAAAAAAATATTCTAAGATAGATTTCTAGTTCATTGATTGTATGGTTCATTTGTCTTACTACAGTAGAACCTCTATAAATTAATACTCGGTAAATTAATATACACTAAAATCTCTATAAATTAATATAATTTTATAGTCCCAGATTGAGTTTTTGATTCAATTAGTATATCTATAAATTAATATCTCTCTAAATTAATAAAAAAATAAAATTTTTGGTGTAGTCCCAACATTATTAATTTATAGAGATTTCACTGTATTTAGAGAGAAATAAATGTTTGGGCAAAACTATATAAAAACTTAGGAAAACTTAAGGAAAAATATAATAAAAAGCAAAATGATAACAAAAAAATATGAAAAAAGTTTAAGAAAATGAATAATATGTACTGGAGAAGTTAATGTGATAATTACATATATAATTTCACAAGTATTTGTTATTACTAAATATTAATAACAAAATCAAACACAAGAGAAAGGGTAAGAAAGAACAGCAAGCTTTAGATCTTTTACAATACTCCACCGATCAGCAAATTCTGCTGTAAGTATCTCCTCAAAAGTTTCAAGAAACTTACACATGCACAAACTGCATTTACGTGAGGGAGAGACAAAACAAAACCCAAAAAAAAAGAAAAGTGAAAGACATGTGAGGGAGAGACAAAACAAAACCCAAAAAAAAAGAAAAAAGTGAAAGACATTTTTTAAAAACCAACTCACCCATCAGGAAATCAACATCGAAACTTATATAAACATTAATGGCTTCTCTCAGACTTTCCCATGATTTTACTTCATGAGACATTGTGAGTGATATTTTTGCAAAAAAACTTGGGAATGTGTTTAGATTGAGAGGAGACACATACTTTATATAGAACCCATATTGACCTAAAAAATTCTTAGACAACACAAACTGACCCAACGTTCTATACCGGACGTTGATGATAGAATATAGAAATTCTATCTGCTATACCATATTTGTTTTTGTAACTTTTTGATTGTGGAGAGCAAAGATGTATGTGGTTGATCCTTACAAACGCATCACCCAAACTCACATTTAACTTCTTCCACATTTGGTTGGTGATGTGACATTCTTCTTATTCTTCTTCATCACCATTTCTGTCTCCCAAACAGATTTATTGCATAGACTATTTAGACACGGCTTTAGAGTTAACCCTCCAATAACTACTATTTCCTTAAAGATATTAAATTTTGAAAATGATACAATAACAACTAGTTTCTAAATAAGTATCACTTTGTTACTTTGCACATAAATTAAAAAAATGGTATAATAAACTAATATATTCATATTTAATGTATATTTAATTAAATAAGAATAATTTAAATAAAATACTATTAATTATTCAAAAAGATAAAAATAGATTTAATGTATAAAATTACATTGAGATTGTAAAATGACACTTTTTTAAACAAAATAAAAAATAAAGTGACTTATTATAAAACAGATGGAGTACTATTTTTTTTTAGAGAGAGAGATATTAGATTTTTTTGACACATGCATGCATACACATGCATACACAATACAATCCAGATTTGCCAAGAAGATTTCAACTCGATGCGCCGCTGAATAAGTATGACAACACAAGTTTGTATACTTCTTCTGATCATGTCGTGGGTTACTCTGAGAGCATGTTTATTGCAGGTCCTTTAAACTGGGTCTCTTAGCGTACGGTTTCTTAACTTTTAACTAAAAACTTAAGGGACGTCAGAGCCCCAAAATTTTATATTTCTCTTATAATATTTATATTTGCACTGGGCCTAACAGATAGATGAGACGGGCCTGGTGGCTAACGTACACTTTTGTAAACAAGTTGCCATTATTTGAATTCTTAAGCTCGGGGATATTTCGTTAGATTAGGTGTTTCAGAGACGTAAGGTTTCCTTCTGAGCATGACGACCATATATATACAAACAACAATTAATAAAGAAAGTGGACAAGTTAAATTGAAGAGGGCAGAGTGGGGGAAATTGATTGCACGTCCATTATGAAGATGATTAACTGAATGCCGAGGAAGATCGATGGCGGTTTCACAACACAGCTCCTCAAGTTCGTTACTTGAATCGTCACCAAAGGCTTGATATATATAAAACATGGATGGGCTAGTAATTATTTGAACCCCAAATGAACAACCTGATTCGTTATTCGTTGCACAGAAACAAAGTGCTTACGTGTCAACAAGAGAGTGTGAGTTTAGCTGATGTGTCCAAAAAATTACAACGAAGAAATTTAAAAGGACACATATTGTCTAGTCGATGACAACTTCGAAATAATATCCAATAATTTAACGAAGCCAAAACAATTAGGTAAGGGGTTTTTGTTTAACTAAAGGACATATTTTACAAATGGTATGATTGAGCCCGTTTTCAGTTGTTACGAGGTACAATATGGAGAAGCGATATAGGTATTATAAGAAAAGCAAGCAATTACAAAGGGTTCAACATCAAGAGTTATGCTGTAACTAGGAAGTTTAAATATAAGAAGATTACTTGAACTTGCGGTAGAGGTTGTATGTGTGTTCTGTGACCTTTCTCAGGTTTTGGCAGACTCTAATCGTCGTTTGGCCTCAGCCTTGGCAGAGGAGGTTGCCATGGCTTTAATGTTTGCTCTGATCTGATCAGGAGTGACAATCTCATCAGCTCTAATGTCTGCCTCCAATCTCTTCTTCTGTTTCTGAGTTCGCTTCTTTATCCTCTTTTTCTTAGTTAGAATTAGAGAAGAGTCACAACTTCTTTGGTATCTGAAGATTAAGAGTAATCAAGTTTTTGTTTAATAACAATCAAGTTTGTGCTATATTATTAAACAATGTACATTTTTTATCCTCCTTTCTATCTTGATTTTTGACTTTGTTATATATTCTGGTTATTAGTAGTTTATAATCGTTCGTTTAGTGGAATGAGTATCAACTGTATTGGCAGCCTGTATTGGCAGCCAGGTATTAGATAATTTACAAGTTAATGATTCAACAATTTTTTTAACATGGTTTAGAAAATCACAAGCAAAATACTTGAATGCTATATATGCATGGAAATCAGAGTAAACAAGCAATCAACATACATTATTAATAACCGCTATTCTCGTTAGTGCAAGTCTTGACGACTGTTGACACTTTAGATGAAATAACAATGCATGGTGTCCTTGGCCAAATGACCATGTGGGTTGCATCTTTTGGAAAAAAAAGAAGAAGAGAACTTTTAAAGATTAACTATGTTTGTCCTAAATTTGCCTATCAACGAAAATAATATTTAGATATTAAAAATGTTGATTGCAAATAATACTCAGAAGGTGAAAGAAACTGCACACAATCTATTTTTACATTGTTTATTGTTTTTATTCTTATTAAGTCACTGATTCTAAATAGTCGATTTAGATTTAGATTATTGCCATTTTCCTGTATATTTAACTTGTTTATTGTTTTTTCAGAGATTATGTGTCGATTTTGATTATTTGTTTATTTTTTTCTCATAGATTCTAAATATCAATTTTGATTTTGATATTTTTTTCTTTTAACTTTTTTCTCTTATATATACCACGAGATGTACTTCTCTAACGACATATGAGATACAATCTACTGTGGGTAAGTTAGTGTACACATGCGGAAGGGAATCAGTTGTGTGAGGTGGATAAACGCTTATGCATAGATGATCAATCACCTATGGTGAAGTGAGCGAGTCCACAGAAGTTACAGTATGATCAAGGGTAGTAAGTCCACAAAAGATACAATACACCACACGCATGTGTTGACTTCGCGATACGTCGTTCTTAGAAAGGGATCCCCTGCATTTGAACATCGAGCACGGCTTGAACGCTGCGACTGCGGAGTTGCATCTTTCACTGACGCTACCACCGCATTTGGAAGATTTAGATCCGGTGGGCGGACATGAATCTTCCTCGCCGCCTTAGAAGAGTCATACGGAGGAGAACTCATCAATAGTTTTATTCTGAGATCTGGTCTGAACTGAAAGCGTACTTATTGTTCTTCAACCTAGCCTCACTCAATAAACCAAAATGTTACGGTTTGGTCAACGTAACGGATTATATATTAAACGACTTAAAATATGTTGTTTCAAGTTTAACCAAACCTTTTATATTGATCCTAATGGACCATATAGGACACTCACTTAGGCCTATGGGCCGATTCAGAATTAAAACGCGGAGAAAAGACGCGCAAGAGTTTTGAAGAAGAAGTTAATTTTGTGGGAAAGTTCTGTCTTTCTCGGAGGGAAGAAGATCCATATACTCCAAATCGGAAAGGTGTTTTGTTATTCTTCTGATCGGCGTTGGGTTTGATACATTTGGATACTTGGAAAGATGGATCCTAACCAGGTGAATGTTTAATTTCTGAGCTCGATTGCTTATCAGATCCTTGATTAACCTCGATTAGCTGTTCGATCTGGAAGTTATTGCGTTTAGATCTGTGTTCGAGAAATTTAGGTGAATGTGTGTATAGACATTAGATGTGGGAAGCCTTCAGCTAGATTAAGATTAGATTAAATCAACAAAACCATAATGCGGGTGTGAATTATCACAATTACTTTTTTAAAAAATAGTTTCATTTAAAATAAAATAAAAAATATATCATATAAACTAAATTTAATAAATTATAGAAAATATTTAAACTCGCACAAAAAATATATTTTATCCACACAGAGCACGTTAAAAATATAAAATATTTTATTTAAACTAAAATATTAAAAATAAAAATCAGTATAAAATAAGTTTATCAATGCAGGCACCAGTTGAAAACTATGCGAACCCAAAGACGTGTCTCTTCCATGTTCTATTCAAGGTATGAGCATGAGGGATGAGTTTTGATACGTTCTTTGTATAAGTAAGTGTGTCAACAAAGACTATGGTAACAAGTTTTTTTTTTTGGGGTCAGGGTGCTGCGTTGGCGTTTTACATTCTCTCGGCTCTCTTCTTCAACAGCTTTGTGATAATCTTTGTGGTGACTGTTCTTCTTGCGGCACTTGACTTCTGGGTGGTTAAGAATGTGAGTGGGCGTATACTTGTTGGTCTCAGGTGGTGGAACGAGATCAATGACTTGGGTGAAAGTGTCTGGAAGTTTGAGTCTCTTGACCAGGAGGTTACTACACTCTCGTTTTTACTTTATTCATTAAGCAAAATAATTCTTACTAGTTTTTTACCTTTCTCGAATTTTTTACTTCGTTTGTGTGTGTATCAGTCCTTGGCTCGGATGAACAAGAAAGACTCATGGCTTTTTTGGTGGACGCTTTACCTTGCAGTGAGTAGTTTCTATCTGAGACTACATTTTGTAGCGTATGGTTATCACTTAAAACTGTTTGCAATGCACCTGAAACTTTAGTGGAGCATTAGGAGTAAGAAAGGGCAATAATGAACGTGACCCCAAATGTTTCAAGTAGACAAGTAGTAGCTCAACTGAATTCATCAGAGTGGGATAGTAGCATCTGAGATTGAAGTCAAATCACACGCAGACACATTGCAGAATAGGCTGATTAGGGAGAAAGTAATCTGGTGGGTTAAAAGTTGGCCATTGTTATTGTGCATGTTGAAGTTGCATTAGTGTATCCTATGATCCTGCATTATCAGATTAACTGATACTTGGTAGCTTAAAACTCTATAGGCTCAGTTGCATTACAACTTGTAATTTACAAGCGACCTATAGAGAGTGGGAATGAGCCATGAGATGGTAGCAATGGGTTTAGTGTCTAGAGTCAGCAATTACAAACTCGTGAATATATTATGCTGTCTTTTACCAGAGCTGAATCTTGTTTTGTGTTTGTCCTTTCTTCAGGCAGCTGCGTGGTTAGTCCTTGGGATATTTTCACTGATAAGGTTTCAGGCTGACTATCTGCTTGTTGTCGGCGTGTGCTTGTCCCTCAACGTGGCTAATATCATTGGCTTCACAAAGTGCAAGAAAGGTAAGATCCATTCCAGTATAGCCCTGATTTTGTTAAGAATCTACTCGGCTATGTAGATCATTAGGTTCTTAGATTTGTGTACAAAGAAAGTATACATGTACCTACTCTTTACTGGTTTTCACACAATGTTTTGTTGGCAGATGCAAAGAAACAATTTCAGCAGTTTGCCTCACAGACAATCGCATCACGGTTCCAGTCCACGGTACAATCTGCCTTCACCCTTGTCTGAAAAGAAGAAAAGATTTGTTGAGAGCAGAGACAGTGTACAAAGAAGATTTGCCATAAGCAAACACCCTGTTTTTTGACTGATTCGTTTTCTCAATATACTAGTTTGTAAGGGATTAAGAAAGAGATTTATTATATTATGTCTTCTTACATGTATTTTCATTTTCGACTTATACCCTGTTCAAGAAACATTTTGAGGTTGTAAAACATTTTGAAAAGATCTCGATGTAGCTTTCACTTTAGCTTGCTAATATGTTTCCAGTGTTCTTGAAGTCACATACCGAACCAACTTCAATGTAGATTATAGATAATTACGGTATTTTTTGTCTAACAGGATGATGTTGACATCTTATTACATGTAAAACAAGTAGAAACGAGTGGTAGGTAATACATGAGAGTAAGAGCAGTAAGAAACACCAACACTCAATAGTCTGTTTACATTGTTGAAGTACACTTCAATAGATTTTGGTCTCTTTTAACTGTAGAAGCAGTGAGAAGCTTGACTAGGCCTCCTTGACTGCAACAGCCTCCTTGACCTCGGTGACTTCACTACCCTTCTCCTTGACAGGCTCTTCCTTGGCAGGTTCCACTTCTTCCGGGACTATAAAAGCTGAGACCGGGAAAGTCCTGGACAAAGTGGTTGGTGACTTGAAAGTGATCTTCTCTTTCTCCTCTGTATAGATCTCACTGATACTAACCCAGACAAGAAGCTCCTTGGCCTTGACTCCAGTGAGCTTCTTGATCTTACCTGTCTGAACCACAGCAGTGACCTCGGTTCCGTAGGAGACAAGCTTATCAATCTTTTCGAACTTGTGGGTGATGCTCTGTTTCTGCTTCAGCCACACGACACCTGACTCTCTGTCATACCCAACCTCTTCAATGTCCTTCAACGGTAGTAAACCATTAGGCATAGATATTTCTTTGAGGAAGACTTTTGTCTTCTCTCGGCATATCTCATCTCCAGTGTACTTCTCTGCCTTAGCTCTCACTTCCTCTGTGACCAAACCCATCTCTGTATTGAAGTTGTGTGTTTGTGTTGAGAGATGACTTAACCTTTGTGATATATATATAGGTTGTGTGGTATGCGGTGCATGTAGAAAAGCATTAATGGGCATGGTTGAGCAGGTCTATGAGTGACTATAGCAATCATCATCACACAATAATGATACCAATTATTGTTGTTACTTGTTAGTATATGATAGATGGTGCATGCATGGCCCCTTACACTCTCCTCACCTGCTAACCAGTAACCGTCGTGTCCTCCTCAATTATTATTTTTTGGTATAAATCGAATTGAATAAACATCTATTTCCTTGACTTATCAGGATCATAATGTATTATTGTGATTTTTAGAATCCAAACAAATACTTTAAGTTCACATAACTACAAGAGCTCCAACTTCTAACTTATTGATTGTGATTTGTCACCTTGAAACTTGATGCCTTGGTACTGTTTCACTAGAACCTTGGTCCAATCAAATCTTCCTTGTTATTATTTCAAATTTAATCAGTATGCATATAACATCACAAATATATTGTTTCGAGCAACAGCTCCACTGTAACCTTTAAACTTAAGAAGAGAAACTGGCGAGTTCATGGCAGTGATTATTCAATAATGTCTCTATATGTTTGATCTCCTTAGGCATTGACCCTGTTAGCACCTCGTAGCCTGTCTCAGTGATCAGAACTTCATCCTCAATCCTTATCCCAATCCCTTGGAATCTGCAAATTTATCAAAAAAGTTTCACATAAACATACTTCTTGAACGGAAATAGTCCTACAAATCATGACTTTTAACATGAAATTGGTGCGTAGAGTTTGAAGAGAGTAACGTTATACCTTTCAGGGCAGTTGAATGAAGATGGAATGTAGACTCCTGGCTCAATCGTGATCACCTGTCCAAACAACCATTGACATTGAGATTCTGTTATAGAAAATCAGAACAAGAATCGGAAGAGTTTAGCTTTACTTACACAACCGGGTTGCAAAGGGCGGTCATATCCTACAGAAGAAGAATCATGCACATCCATCCCTAGGTAGTGACCTTTTTTTATCCATCAAAAGAGAACTTTTGTTAGATAACATTTTGTGTTTTTTTGGTTACATTATAATGTTTATACAGCACAATGTCAGACAACTAAACAAGGATGTATTAGTTTCATCGACCAATGCATACCTATGGACGTTGGATTCAGCTGGTGATACAGTCTACGATTCTTCAAGATGCCCATCTTCATCAGTCCATTGCACAACATATCCGTCTGCACAATCACAAAGCATCATCTGAGTTCACACAAGAGAATATATTTCAGGTCCTGGCAAAACCGTAGTATAATGAACAGTGTTGTTCATACATCTCACGCCCAAAGACACAGAACAGATGAAGATAAGTTTGTATACCGAATATGTGTTTAGTTCACGGATGGTTGTACCAGGCTTGCATAGCTTTATTGACTCTTTGTTTGTCTCAAGTATAAGATCATATATCTCTTCCTGTAAAAAAACACAAGTATCAATGTTTTGGTCTTCAGTAAAATAAAACAAAGTTAAAACATAAAAATCTTTGAGGAAAGAGCTCGAAGAATGAGTTTCAGGACAAATCAAACCTGAAGAGAATTGAATTTTCCGCAAGGGGGCCATGTCCGAGTAAGATCACTAACATAACCATGGAACTCACAACCCATGTCCAACAAGACAAGATCACCATCCTTTATCTGCAGATGTGTTTTAAAGATGTTGGCTTCAAGAACACATCTCTATATTAGTAAATTGAATAGAATTTCATCAAACTTACTCGCTGATCATTTCGTGAATAGTGGATAACACTGGCATTAGAACCGCCACCAACTACAGGATTGAATCTAAGGAATCAAAGAAAATGAAAAATATTCTTCTCATTAGGAAAATAAGAATAAGTAATCACATATGGAGTAGATAAGACATGTTGAGACTTACGCCATTCGCTGAGCACCTCTTATCCGACACTCATACTCAACTTTGGCTGACAAGATGCCTTCATCAGGATACCCTTTTGAATGTAGCATTGTTTTCAGAAGCCCCTGAGAATGAAAAGATCCAAATCACCACATAAACTCACTGACTGTAAAAGCTATTGTCTCAAGTGTATACACACAGTTGTCTGCATAAGTTACAACTTTAAGCAATGATGGCTTTTTGGGTCATATAGGAAGTACCTGGCAGGCAATAGATGCAGACTCTCTCATCAATTTGAGCTCAGCAGGTGATTTAATTAACCTCAGCTCATGGGTAAAACTTGAAAGAGACTTCACTTTGCCAAGAGATGCAGATGTTTTAAACTCATCCAAGTTTGTGTATCTCTGAGAGGCCGTTTGATCATTATGAAACACTTTTGAAGATTTTCTTATCATGTCTGAAAGAATCTGCACATTCAAGAACATATAAATAAAACAATAAAACATTTTCCACTTAACTACATAAGTTACCTCTGGTAATTTGCTTATAGGATATGCTTGTTCTGCCTTGAAAACCTCAGAAGCTGCATCGACTCCAGCTACTTCTCCTTGCCAAGCAATGTCCTAAAACCACAAAAAGAACTCTTATAAATCACCAAACAGTCTGTATAACGAAAATTCATGTACTCAAACAGATAATTAACCATACATTAGGAGTTGATTCTGGCATGAACATGCATAAACCATGTTCATCACTTAAAACAGCTACACCACCTGGTTGCTGGCAGCCAGTTAGATACAAATAATCAGCCTCTTGTCTAAACGTATATGGAACAACGTCTGTCATCATCTTCACAGGGGCTGAGGAAATGATGGCTAAGCTGTTCTGAGGAAGAAGCTCCGCAAGTTTCTTCCTTCGACCAATGTATTCCTCTATTCTAATTCCTGGTGTAACCTCTCCTTCAGCCATTAACTAATACAAAAGAGGGAAACCATCAGAGAGCATTATAAAAGCATTTTGCAAAATTGAAGAGAAGATAGTCATACATGAGAATGAGATGATGGAGTTGGCTGACCAATGTCTCTGACACGTTGAGTTGAATATGCATAACGACTAATGACCTGAAACATCATTTTGATAAACAAAATGTCTCTTAGCCTAAAGCAATTGTGTAGTGTAGATAAATAAACAGAGCACAGAGAGAGGAAACAAAGTCTCAGGCTTTATGTAAATTTTATAAAAAAAGTCAATTACTTTCATTCAAAGGATGAGACTTTATGGTTCAGAAGATGAATCTCCACACGCGAACTAACAAGGAAGACAGCAATAATTGAGAAAGCATGAATTGAGAGCATACCTGGCTTCTCGAGACTCTCTGAACTAGATTCCTCGCAAGTACTTGCATCTCTCTTCTCCTCTCACAGAGACACAGACTCTTTGAGTAGATTCGATTCGGACCTCTTTAAGACTTCAGGGGTTTTAGCTGCGTTGTCTGAATGAAAAGCCGCGTTTCAAGGTTTTTAAAGAGTTTAAAACGCAACCGCACTTTCCCAAACCGCTTAATTGAACTTAACGAAATGTAGTGGAGAGAGTTTCAGTGTTAGGGTTTTAGCTGTTTTTAACGGTGCGTTGTCTTAAACGTTGCGTTTTCAGCAGACCTATCAAAAAACTGCTAAAGGTCAAGACTTTGAGTTTCTTCAGACCAAACACACAGCGAAACAGGGGAGAATAGGGTAGATAAATCGATTCAAGCTTCTCTGCTGCTCATAAGAGAGTAACAATGGCTGCTGCTTCAGAAGAAGTAGTGAAGGATGTTGGAAAAGCAATTGTTGAGGAGCCTGTTGGTGAAAAGAGAGAAAGAGGAGAGGAGGCTGAAACATTGGCGCCATGGGAGCAACACGCTAACATCATAAGCATCCCACGGTTTGATTACACAGCTCCTTCTTCTCTGCTTCATCATTCTCATTCCGGCTTCCTCGTCACTTGCAGCATCAGTATGATTGTTTTCCTCTCTTTTCTGTATTGATTACTTGTTTCCCTCAATGGCCTCCGAGTCTTGTGTGTTGTGAGCTTATTGAATTGAGATGTAAAAGTGTTCCTATGAACTGAGACTTTAGGGTGTTATGTTCTGTTCTGTTTATCAGAAAGGGAGAAAAGTGCTACCAAAGAGGTCATGTCCATCCTTGGAAAGGTGTTATTGCCTATAGGTGAGGAGAAAGCTGAAGTTTTGAAGTCTTCTGATACTAAAAGACAAAAAATTTGTGGACAAGAGACAGGAGAAGACGAAGGGAAGACCACCTTGCAGGAAACAGGTAACTTTTGAAGAGCATAGTCACTTTGTTTGTCTTTTCTTTGTTCTTAACTTTTGGTGACCTTCTTTAGGTGAAAATCCAAGTGTTGAGGATCTCAAATCGGTTAAAGAGAGTGTTAGTGAAGAACATAAGTCCATCATGTCATTGGTTAAGCTGACAAAGAGTGGCTTGCTTCTCTTTACTTTCCCTGTTGAGAAGTCTATGGATACTACAGATATTGTGTCGAGAATCTTCCAGTGTATGGAATCTGGAGCTCTCAAGGCACCAGTGTATGTCTTCTTATTAATTCATATGCTTAAACTAATCTGGAGAAATTTTTGTAAGTGAACGGTCATATAATTGAAGTTTATGATGTTACCATTCGCTTTGGGATCATTTAACTCTACCTTTTGGTAATCTTGCTTATGATAGTCATAGTCTCAATTCTCAAAGAGTGGTTTCACTTACAGATCAGATTTATTTTCTCTTTTTTCGAATGGTCTCCATGTCGTCTCACTCTGTTAGTACTTTATGATATGAACATTGCAGCTGGTGCCATCGGATATTCCCTGTACAAGCTACTTGTGCTTTGACAGAGAAAGAACTTCAGGAAACAGTATCAAAGCTTGTTCAGCGGTTTGTAAATGATAAACAAAATACACTATCCAAACCTGTGAAGGTAAACAAAAAACATGTTGTCTGCATAATCAAGTTAACACTGTTAGATTTCATCGCAATGGTTCTTGACCATGTATCACCATATAGTTTGCAGCTGGGTATAATCGAAGAGGTGTGGAGGAGACAAAAGGAAAGGTTCAGAAAGCATCAGAGGTTCTAGATCAATGTCCTTTGCTGGACCGCACTAAATGCTTTGAAACTGTTGCGGCCGGAGTGAAAGCCGTTGTACCAGATTCAGTTGTGGATCTTAAATCTCCAGAGGTAATTTTAATATAAAAAAGAATCCAAAACCTTGTTCTGTTATACCGTTTATAAAGTTTTGAAGATTTAAAATGTGTGCAGTTATGTGTTCTGGTGGAACTCTTACCGCTCTCTAGAATACCAAATGGCTCCTATGTAGCTGCTGTTTCAGTGCTTCCACATAGGCTAGTCAGCACAAAGCCTAAACTCGTGATCAAGCCTCTAGTTGCAGAGACCAAACAGAAGAAGGGACAAAACTGATGAGTGACATGTCATAACAGCAATTGAGTTTTTATAGAGCTTTAAAAGATCAGTTGAAGTCGTATCTATCTGTTTTCGTTTAGCTATGTCTTTTGCTTTCAATGTCTCTCATGGCATTAACAAGTTTGATGAGCAATGTTGTGTACTTACAAAAGATCAGTTGATGGTGTTTGACTTAGAAAAGAAATTCTGTTTGATTGGATACTGATTTTATATTCATATTCCGGTTTAAGCAATTCGGTTTAACTGGATTCTGTTAACCCACTCACGTTTGCGTTTATGTGCGTCTAGCTAATGACTTCCTGGTTCCATCTTCCACACAAGTAAAACAAAACCCTTATGCGTCTGATGGTTTGAATCTATCTATTTAACCAAACTTTGCATCCGTAACCTTTATAACATTTTGACAGAACTATGGCATTGTGATGTGACTTGCAGGGTCAGATTGTGACTCAAGCCAGCTCAGATTTGGCGGGGTTGTTTGATGAAGGTTGCGCAACCATAATAAAGCATGATTTTGGTCACATTATTCGTACAAAGTCTCCTTATATTGATGAGATTGAAACTTTCCTTAACCAATTCGTTTGAAGACTTTACTCCAACCAGACAATCAAATAATTTCTTTGTATTTGTACTCTGACGAGTAAATGTTTTTAAAACAATAATAACAACAAAGATAGAAGTGACAAACACAAAGTGATCATATCCTAAACCAGTAACCACACTAGACATGATTTATCCCAAGAGTTTTAAGATATTTAAGATACAAACTCAGAATGATTCAAACGAATAAGAAACAGAAAAGCCTTTTTTGAAGCAGTACTCAAAACCTCAAACTTGAACCTGCCAATGTCAATAACAGTTGCAAAACGTTGAATCTCATGTTCTATACCTTTTTAGCCAAATTTAAATCCACCAGGTGGAGCAGCTGCCTGGTTATTCCCGAAACTGAAGCCCTGTTGTGGATTCTCGCTCACGCCGTCTGGCACAATCGGCTCTTCATCTTCTTCAGCCCAATATCTCTCCAGGATCTTTACGGCCTTCTCATATATCTCGTTGTTGTCATGGGATTGAAGGTTTTCGATTTTGTCCAATCCATCACATTCTTCTACTATCTGAGCATAGAGATTAACCCCACCGTTTAATCCCATCTCCTTGTCAGCTTCACCAATCTTGAGAATGTTTTCAAGCCCTTCAAGGCACACTGTCACAATCCTTGGATCAGGGCAGATTAGTAGATCACATAGCGGTTTGATGCAGCCTTGATTCACCAAATATCTGCATGCAAAACTCTGTTATGGCATATTGAGATATATGATGGTATAAGACAGGTAAGAGAGTGAACACTATGAATGTAAGTTATTTCATAGCAAATGCTTAAAATTTGAGATGACTTACTGAATCTGCTCGTGAGACCCTCCTGATGTAGCATTGGAAATGGCCCATGCAGCTTCCTTCTTAATATCGAACTCCGCATTCTGGAGCAAGTGCACAAGAGGAAGGACTAATCCAGCACCAACCACAGCCTAATGTATGAACATTATAAAATGAATAAAAATTGTCTTTAAGCTCTGAAACTCTGATGCTCTCAATATTTTCGGTAACAAGCATTGTTGGAATATGACACTAGCAAACTACAATTAAAATCATGTCCCCTCGTCCGCTAGAAAGTAGTTAAATGGCTTGCTTTTAAACTATAGAAGAGCAAACACAACTTGAACATATTCAATATAACTTCTTATTGTATCAGAAATGAAACAGCAGGAGCATTAATATTTCCACCAAAGCTATATTCTTGACTAATTAAAGCAGAAAAAAAACTTATACCTCTATCTGAGCTTGGTTCCCAGCAGTGATATTTGAGATAGTCCAACAAGCTTCTTTTTTTATACTCTTCTTGTGATTTTGCGTAAGCAAATTATAAAGGTGAGGAAGCACACCACTATCGATTATAAACTGAAAAGCAAAATTACAGTTGCAGTCAGAAATGTTAAACAAAACAACAAAAACATTATATAGAAACATACTTCACAGAGCGTACCTGTGTCTGAGAGTCATCACCAGTTACAATGTTCCCAACAGTTCGAAGTGCAGGAATGAGAACCGTCGGTGATGGATGACTTCAAGAAATATAAATAAGTTAGTACGCAGAAGAAAAAAAAACAAGAATTCAAAGGACTGAAACAACACTCAATTTTCACAAATTTGAAGATGTAAACACAATTGCTGAAAAGACCAACTAATACAGCAATAAGAATCCGAAGGAAAAAAAACTAGAGAAACTACAAGATGAGGAGGAATTATCAAAAATTATGTTGTCAAGGTAGCTATTGGCGAGGCAAAAAGGAACTACCTCAGAAGCTCCACAAGACGTGGACAGACACCTGCCTGAATAACAGCCTGAATCTTATCATTAGGGCCATCTGAAAGGTAGGAGAGAGCCCAGCAGGCATCTGTGAGAACTTCTTCATCATTTAGATAGATAAGTTGCCGAAGAACTGGCAGGGCAGGCTTCACCTGGAACATATGAATATCAAACATAATGTGAGAAACACAGCCAAGCATATGTAATTAAAGATCTTGACCTGTAACATAAGTTGTCCAGACAGATCAAATTGCACAAAAGAATCCATTTCGCCAGTCCTACCTCTTCAAACGGTGTTGGTGGTTTCCCACGACAAAAGTTGGACAAGGTCCATGTAGCATTCCTTAGCATGGATAACTTTGAATTTTCGTTTAACTGAGACAGTAATGGTATAAGAGCACCACAACTGAGAACAAGATTCCTGCAGTTTGGCGAGTCTCCAGCAACATTCCCCAAGGCCCACACCGCCTACAACAGATAAATATATAAAAGTTTGTAAGAAAACATTAAGGTTTTAGAACCTAAAACTACAGAGAAGCACTTGGCTGACTATAACTTCTAAATTAAAAAAATATACAATATCCTGATCACAATATAAAATGGAAGTGCAAGTGAGAGCTACAATTATCTACAGCTAGAAAGTGACACACCTGCTCTCGGACGTCATCACTAGCAGAGCTAAGAAGCTCAACGAAGATAGGTACCGCCCCATGTTCAATCACAACCCGAGTATGATCTGATGTTCCTGACGCAACGTTGGTCAAAGCCCAAGCAGCCTCAAACTGAAAAAAAGACCATTCTTAAATCTCTAAGGTGCCACTAATAAGGGTCTAATCGAAAATGTAGGAATCATAAGACACTCATACCTGCAGTTGTGGATGGTCTTGCCTTCCAAGAAACTCCACAAAACGTGGGATAACACCAGCTTTGATCACTTCATCTATTGGAGGACTACGCTCTGCTCATCAAATTACAAAACAATCATCAAATGTCTATTTCCACACATATACACCGAGAACAGTCTACAAAATAATGTATAACCTACCTATAGATAACAACTTTCGAAACTGAGTAGTGGCTTCTAGCTGAGCTTGAGGATCATCAGAATAAACACCTTGTACCATCATTGGGATACCTTCTAACTGTCAAAACAGAACATAACCAGAATCAAACAGCTGTCTCCACGGCAACAAAAAAAAATAACAAAATCCAATCCATTAACAAATCAACAGATGAGTTTACTACGTGATCAGATGTGTTGTCATAAAGCTGAGATCTATAATTAAAGCGAGAACACAATCAAAAGTCTCACTCTTTCAATAAGAGAAACAAAGATCCATCACTAACCAATCAAATCCAATCATCCAATTCAAACTACAGATTCAGATCAGCGACTTACTCGTTTCTCAACGGCGGCAGCGCTCTGGAGAGCATCAAGACCAGCAGCTCCGAGAGGCTGCTGCTGCTGCTGGAGCATCATACCTTCGCGGCGTTTCTTGAGGAGACTGTCTTCACGCTTGTTTTTTCTGATCTCGACGAGATTGTCTTCTCTCCTCCGCCTCGCTTCATCGGCGTCAACGCCTGTCTTGTATATCTTCTTCCTCAGCTCCGCGCGTGTGCTTGGCCTCAGAGACATCTTCGTTAATCTCTCTCTAGTTCGTCTGAGATCTTCTGTTTTGGTCGAAACTGTGAAAATGGAGATGGAGATCGTGGAGGACGAGTCGTCTGGTGCTGTCGGGTCGGATGCGGGTTGTTGGATCCTTCCCGCTAAAAAAGAGTATCCTTAAATGGGCCACAAAGTTGAAAAGCCCACAGGCTTTTTATTTTAATACCAGCCCACAGACTTTAACACCATTTCCGGATAAATCAGATAAATCATTCATATATCCAATAGGTATTTAGGAGATTTATGTTCGATCTATTTTTTACATTCTTACATATTAATCAATGCAACTCTTAGAATCACTAAAATGTTAATTTTATAAATATTTACTCAGTTTTAATATAGAAATACCATATATATTTAAAATATAAGAGAGTAAATAAAAGAAAATATGCTCTAATGCTAACAATGTTTTCACTCTTCCTGACTAACCTAGTAAGGTTAATGTTAAATTATTTTATATTGAAAAGCTTAAATTTATTGTGTTTGGATATTTGGGTATCCGTTCGGTTTTGGTTCACGTTTGGTTATTCGATATAGAAATATAGGAACCATTTGTGTATTTGCGAGTTTTGGTCTGGTTTCAGTTTCGAATATTTTGGTCCGGTTTTTTGGTTCGGTTTTTCGGTCCAGCCTAGATATAACAGAATCTCTGATGTTAGTAGCCAAAAAAAAAAAACAGAATCTCTGGACAGTTATGTTCTTGTTTGCTTCAGGTAGACCCATCGCTTGTCGCTCTTACCCTCTCCTAAAGCGTTCTTACACCAACCTCTCAGTTCAACAGCTTCAAGCTCTTCTGGGCAAAAATGAATCAAATCCTAGAATCACCCACCAGCTCCATTCTCACTTCATCACTGCTGGTCTTCTTCTACTTCATCAGAAGCAAAACTCTGGGAAGCTTCTCCTTTTCAATCCTCTGCTTCGATGCTATTCTCTTGGCGAAACTCCTCTTCGTGCTTACTTACTCTACGACCAACTCCAACAGCTTCATTTCTTCTCTGATCACGAGAAGAGACTTCCTCCTTTCGATAGCTTCACTTACCTCTTTCTCATCAAAACGACTTCGAATCCTCGGTTCCTGTATCCAATGCTAGGGATTGGAATTCATGGTTTGACGCTAAAATTGGGGTTTGAGTTTAATGTCTACGTTCAGACAGCTTTGGTTGGAATGTATCTTGTTGTCGGAAATAGAGTTGATGCTTACAAAGTGTTCGACGAAATGCCTGAGAGAAGTTCTGTAACTTGGAATGTGATAATCANACTTCGAATCCTCGGTTCCTGTATCCAATGCTAGGGATTGGAATTCATGGTTTGACGCTAAAATTGGGGTTTGAGTTTAATGTCTACGTTCAGACAGCTTTGGTTGGAATGTATCTTGTTGTCGGAAATAGAGTTGATGCTTACAAAGTGTTCGACGAAATGCCTGAGAGAAGTTCTGTAACTTGGAATGTGATAATCACTGGCCTAACTAATTTGGGAGAGTTCGAGAAAGCTATTTTCTTGTTGGAGAAGATGCCGAATCGGACAGTAGTGTCGTGGACCACTCTCATTGATGGCTACGCACGAGTGAATAAGCCCAAGGAAGCTATACTCATGTTCTGGAGAATGGTTGCTTGTGACGCAATTAACCCAAACGAGATCACCATTCTCGCGATTCTTCCAGCTGTTTGGAGCTTTGGAGATCTAAGTATGTGTGGATCGGTCCATGGTTACGTTGTGAAAACAGGGTTTGTTCCATGTGACATCCGTGTGACAAACTCTCTCATCGACGCTTATGCGAAATGTGGGTGTATCCAAAGCTCGTTGAAGTTTTTCATGGAGGTTCCAAATGTTAGAAAGAATCTTGTAACGTGGACAACGATGATCTCTTCCTTTGCTATGCACGGGATGGGCAAAGAAGCGGTCAATATATTCAAAGACATGGAAAGATTGGGATTAAAACCGAACAGAGTGACCATGATCAGTGTTTTAAACGCTTGCAGCCACGGAGGCTTAGCAGAAGAAGAGTTTCTAGAGTTTTTCAACAAGATGGTAAGCAAGTACAAGATCACACCCGATGTGAAGCACTACGGATGTTTAGTAGATATGCTGAGAAGAAAAGGAAGATTAGAAGAAGCAGAGAAGATCGCTTTGGAGATTCCGTCTGACCAAAAGGCAGTGGTTTGGAGAATGCTGCTTGGAGCTTGTAGTGTCTATGATGATCCTGAAATGGCTGAGAGGGTTACTAAGAAGCTGATGGAGTTAGAGAGAGGCCATGGAGGTGACTATGTGCTTATGTCTAACATCTTTTGTGGTACTGGAAGATTCACAGATGCTCAGAGGTTTCGGAAGCTGATGGATGTTAGAGGTGTAGCTAAACTTCCAGGACATTCACAAGTAACATAGTAGAAGAACTTATAAGAGTCTTGTAACTAAGACTCCGACGTTCATTGTGTTTGGAGAAGCTAATCTTCACAAAGAAGAACCAATTAATTTAAATAAGCTAAAAGTTTTGTCGGCCCAAAGTTCCTCGGCCCATTAGCTCTTGTTGAAAAATCCAACGGTGGTGATCACGTTTTAATCCAACAAACCGAGCGGTGTTTTAGTCCCCCACGTGAAAAGCACACTTCTTTTAGTTAAAACCACCGACCGCTAATATTCCGCCACGTGTAACCTTCCCTTCGCAGTTTCATCCAATCATGTCAATCTATTGACGAACGTATCCGACGTGTCGATTTCTCATTGAATTACGTGGCTGTAGATTTACAGCGTGGCAAGAAGCGAATATCCATGAGAACAACTTCACTAGCAGCTTGCTCACCCCTCGTGGTATATATACTCCATCGTCTTGTGATCTCTCAGGGTAGAAGCTCCGATCTGAGATTTTAGCAATGGCGAAAGTAAGCCTTAGCATCGTATCGTTGATTCTTATCGGACTCGTCGCGATCGCTTCCGCAGCAGTTATATTCGAGGAACGTTTTGATGGTAACTTACTTTTCTTTCTCTTCACTGTATTTTCGAGACTCTTTAGGTTTTAGTGATGTGTTAATGCTGAGAGTTAACGATTCATTTCCGATCATGCGATACGCATCGTTTCCGTAGGATAAGATCATTTTATTAATGTTGTGATCGGGACGGGACTATCACGGATCTATGAATTTGTGGATTCTGATTTTTATGAGGTTACATTGAAATGGCTGCGAACATTTAATTAATATTAGTACTCTTTTCGTGGAGATGCTACGGAGATCACTAGAGCAAGGATTCATATGATTGATGTACTCTTGAGATTATAGTTCACATATTATTCCATTTAATCCAGTCTCTGTTTGTTTTCTGCTTAGACTTGACTGTATTATAGTGTTATTTGCAGTTTTAAAAATTTCAATGTAGCAAATCTCTTTTGTAGAATTTGTGTCTCTTGTGTTGGTTTCCATCTTGATGTTCTAAACTTAATATATAATCTTTCGAATTTTCTTGATTAATTATCTCTTTTTTTTTGTCTGTCTTTGTTTGTAAAGATGGATGGGAGAGCAGATGGGTTAAATCTGAGTGGAAAAACGATGAAAAGTCTGCTGGGGAGTGGAAACACACTGCTGGTAATTGGTCTGGTGATGCTAACGATAAAGGTTTGATTCATTCTTCTGAGCTTGTTATGATTCATTGGTAACAAAATGTTTTTTTTTTGTTAATGATTTATAGCAACTATTGTTGTATTGCAGGTATCCAGACCAGTGAAGACTACAGATTCTACGCCATTTCAGCTGAGTTCCCTGAGTTCAGTAACAAGGACAAGACCTTAGTCTTCCAGTTCTCAGTCAAGCACGAGCAAAAGCTTGACTGTGGTGGTGGCTACATGAAGCTTCTCAGAGGTGATGTTGACCAGAAGAAATTTGGTGGTGACACGCCGTACAGGTACATTACCTATCTCGTCTCGTTAAATAAAAAAAGGTTACGTAGATAAAACAATTTCAGTATCATCAACTGATATCTCTTTTTATTAATAATGACCATTTTCTTTTTACGTGCAGCATCATGTTTGGTCCTGATATTTGTGGCTACAGCACTAAGAAAGTGCATGCTATCCTTACCTATAATGACGCCAACCACCTGATCAAGAAGGATGTTCCCTGTGAAACTGACCAGCTTACCCATGTGTATACTTTCATCCTCCGCCCAGATGCTACTTACAGCATTCTCATTGACAATGTTGAGAAGCAAACCGGTAGCCTGTACTCTGACTGGGATCTTCTCCCACCCAAGAAGATTAAGGACCCCAGCGCCAAGAAGGTACAAACCAAACTGAGAACCAACTAACTGTAACTCGATTTTGACCGAAGAAGAACAAACCAGACCAAATCTCATGCAACCTGATCTCTTCTTTTTTTTTTTTACAGCCTGAGGACTGGGACGAGCAAGAGTACATTCCTGACCCTGAAGACAAGAAACCTGACGGATACGATGATATCCCAAAGGAGATCCCAGATACCGATGCAAAGAAGGTTTCTACATATTGTCTAATAGTTGATTCAATATCTAAAACCCCTTGCTGTGTTTCTGTATTTGCTTATTTTTTCTTTATGCCCTTTCTCTTAGCCTGAGGACTGGGATGAAGAAGAAGATGGTGAGTGGACTGCCCCGACCGTTCCCAACCCAGAGTACATGGGTGAATGGAAACCAAAGGTTTGTAAATCTCGCTGTCAAAAAGTATATATAACCTTTTTCTCCTTCTCAAGGTTGTCATATATTTCTGTAGCAAATCAAGAACCCCAACTACAAGGGCAAGTGGGAGGCTCCAGAGATTGACAACCCTGGTAAGTTTCTACTCTCTGTACTATGGCCCTGTCATATTCGCATCTGGGTTCTTTTTCTAGTCTTCTCTATTATTAAACCCAAGATCACACCAGTTTGATACATTTAGTAATTCATATCTTTTGTTGCATGAACTCACATGAAACTTTAGCTTTCCAAGCAATAACATCCAACAGTTACTGCGCCTAATTTAACTGGTTTTTCGCAGACTTCAAGGATGACCCAGAGGTGTATGTATTCCCCAAGCTGAAGTATGTTGGAATCGAATTGTGGCAGGTGATAGATCGTGTCACTGTGACATCTTGTCTTCCAAGTTCTGCTTTTGGCCCCATGACTCCCATTTAAATACATATCTTACTCTCTTTTAGGTGAAATCAGGATCATTGTTCGACAATGTTTTGATCTGTGATGACCCAGACTACGCCAAGAAGTTGGCAGATGAAACATGGGGCAAGCTCAAGGATGTACGTGTTTAAAAATTACCATCTGCATGAACACAAGTTTTTGTTTTTGGTTGCTGATAAGAATAGCCAATATAACTTCGTAATTGCAGGCGGAGAAAGCAGCTTTCGATGAGATTGAGAAGAAGAAAGAAGAAGAGGAATCCAAGGACACTCCTGCGGAAACTGATGTAAGCTAGTGTGTTTGTTTTCAAGTTTTCAGTCTCAAGATTCTGAACTAATATCATTGTGTATGAGTTGTTTCCAGGCTGAAGATGACGCTGAGGAAGATGAAGGAGATGATTCTGATACTGAATCTAAAACCGAAGTTAGCGAGGAGACCTCGGAGAAAGACGCCACCGCTCATGTATGCTAAGAAAATACTTGTCACAGTGTCATTCCATATTGGTATTGTTGATGGTCATATTGTGTGATATTGGTTTTGCAGGATGAGCTTTGAGCGAAAGGAGGTTGAAGATTCAAGACCCAAGTTTTCGAGTCTCTTTTCCATGTTTTTATCCTTTCTTTTGAAGTATTTGTAGCATGTCTAGTTTGTTGGAAGTGATACAAGTTTTAGCATATGATGATACAATGCAAAGACGATCAAGAGCTCTTTTTGTACTAAACACCATATGATGACATTTTTCACTGCTCCACACTTTGAAAATTCCATACTCACGTAACTCGTTACAGACCATCAAGTCCATAGCCCAAAGAGTAGTTCCTATTAAGAACAGAAAACGTATATATAGTTGCCAAAGATTCTGCTAGTAGACTGATATGGGCTAGAAATGTCTTATTAGGCCTACATCAGATAATGGGCCGTATTGTGTGTTTAAGGAGGAGGGTTAGAAATGTCTTTGACAAGGAACGCTTTCTATTGGTTCATACATGTTCACACGGATCATTATATTGAAAGAGTCAGGCTATCCGTAGGATTCCTACTAATCTACGGCTGTTATGACATTCACGCGGATCGTAATATAAACGCCTTACATCCGTGGATTAAAACAAAACCAACGATCCAGATTCAATACCGCTAAAACAACGAAAACGAAATCTTTTTCCCGCTTCTTATTATTCCCATTTCCCAGACTATAAATAAAACCCTTTCCTCCACCAACTCATTCACAAATCAGATCTCAATCTTCCCTTTACTTTTCCCAAATCAACAATCAATTCCCGCAATGGCTCGCACCAAGCAAACCGCCAGAAAATCAACCGGAGGCAAGGCACCAAGGAAGCAGCTCGCGACAAAAGCCGCGAGAAAATCAGCTCCCGCCACCGGAGGAGTGAAGAAGCCACACAGATTCAGGCCAGGTACCGTCGCTCTCAGGGAGATCAGGAAGTACCAGAAGAGCACGGAGCTTCTGATCCGCAAACTGCCGTTCCAGAGGCTTGTTAGAGAGATCGCTCAGGATTTCAAGACGGATCTTCGTTTCCAGAGCAGCGCTGTTGCAGCTCTCCAGGAAGCTGCGGAGGCTTACCTCGTTGGATTGTTCGAGGATACTAATTTGTGTGCGATCCACGCGAAGAGGGTGACGATCATGCCGAAGGATATACAGCTCGCTAGGAGGATCAGAGGTGAAAGAGCTTAGATCTGAATTCATGGTTCAATCTCTATTGTAACGAATGTGTAACTTCTCAAGTTTATTATAAAATTCGATCGAGTTTAAATGATTTAAGTTAACCGTATGAAAATTAAAATAGATCTAAACCGATTATATTGATGACGTTACTTGATCCGATCTAAACCATTGTTAGAAATAAACCGGGTAAAATTAATAGAGATCTTAAACCGCTGACTATTTTGATCGCACGGTTCATAGTTGTTCAATGACACAATGAGAATTTTTAAGCCAATAAGAAGGCTACACATTAATTCTCCAGCTATCTATCATCCACGTGTTATATTCTTTTAGTATAAATGTGTGACATTGATAATGTTTTCTTTCACACTTGTCTGATCAACAAAATTGATTTGATTGTTCTTCATCTCTCTCTCGTTAAGCTCTCTGATAGTTGATAGTGGTTGTTTCGTATTGTGTTCTTCTTCATCAGATCTGAGGAGGAAGAGGATTTTGTTGTGATGTTTTTGTTCGATTGGTTCTATGGAATCCTGGCGACGTTAGGTTTGTGGCAAAAAGAGGCGAAGATATTGTTTCTGGGGCTCGACAATGCCGGCAAAACTACTTTGCTTCACATGCTCAAAGACGAGGTTACTTTTTTTTGCCTTAGCTATTCTATGTCCTTTTGGGATTATTTGGTAATTCAACATGTACTACTAAGAAGTTTGGGCATTCGAGTTGTTGTAGTGAGGATTCTTTGAATGGATATGGTTTTCTTAATAGCTGGTCGTGTGTTAAGACATGTGTTAAAGCTGGTCGGAATCAAACATGCTTAATCTTTATTTGTTGTGTGGTTGCAGAGATTAGTTCAGCACCAGCCAACACAGCATCCAACATCTGAGGAACTGAGTATTGGCAAAATTAAGTTCAAGGCTTTTGACTTGGGTGGCCACCAGATTGCGCGTAGGGTTTGGAAAGACTACTATGCTAAGGTTTTATACATCTCTCCATCTCTCTTTTGCCATCACATCGTCTTCCTAGTAACAATAGAAACCCGTTTTGTGTGTGTGTTAGCATCTCCTTGAGTTACTTATTATATGCAAAAGTGATAATCTTTTGGATAATAGTTCAGAGAAATTGATTTGCGTGTGTGGTGGAACATTTACTGAATCTTGATTATAAAGAAATGTATAGTTTAGATAGAAACTCTCTTGGTTATTTAAATTAATTGGCTGATACAAACTCTCTGTGTGTAAAGGTTGATGCGGTTGTGTACCTAGTGGATGCTTTCGACAAGGAGAGATTTGTGGAGTCAAAAAGGGAGCTTGACGCTCTTCTGTCTGATGAAGCCTTGGCAAATGTTCCCTTTCTTATTCTTGGCAACAAGATTGATATTACTTATGCTGCCTCTGAAGATGAGCTCAGGTATCACTTGGGTCTCACCAATTTCACTACCGGTAAAAGCAATGTGAGTCTAGAAGAATCTGGTGTTCGTCCGCTTGAGGTGTTCATGTGCAGCATCGTCCGCAAAATGGGATATGGCGAGGGGTTTAAATGGTTATCTTACTACATCAAGTAGGAAACCAAATTAGAATTGATCTTTGCTTCACGGTTTTATGAATGAGAAATCACTTTTTCCTCTTTGAAAAATATATGATCTCTATCCCTCTCTCTTGTAGTTTCCTCCAAGTTTTAATATGTATCACGAAGTGGAGGCTTACAACTTGTGCATTAGTAGTAGTACTCACGTTTCTTTTGTTTTCTCAAACCGAAGAATAACATCGTTCTGATTGTGAGTAGTCACTATGACCTCTATGCAGTTCTGTAAGCGAATGAAATGTCATTATAATATAGAAAGCTCAGAATGATACATTTCGCAAATGGTTCTTTGGCCTGTAGATTCTGGTTAAGTCTAATTGGGTTATTGTTGTTAAAAGAAGATAAACAAATAAATCATCCTGTCTCAGTTATGGATGGTTTTGGGATAAATACACTCTAAAGATGAAGAAACAATGTAGGAATATACAAAATTTACAGAGGTTAGATAGATGCACCCGTCTCATATGCCCACAATCACTGGAGAGTATACATTCTTTTTCTGCATCCATAGAAGTAACTATATAGTTTTGCCATCAGTTTATGGTTTAACACTGCAAGACTGCCTGGAATACATAGAAAAAAGTCCAGGGACAAAACACAATGAGAAAATGGTAAATGATTGCATATTATATGACTTGCTTTTTTATCATTAATGAGGAAATGATTGTACCTGGGAAAGCTTCAGTTAAATACTGAATGACACGTCCGTCTAATTGTTATTCAGGAAGGAAACACAACCACCATTTCCTTTTTGAATAGCTGCTGAGTTCAAGGCACAAAAAAAGGAAGTTACATATGGAGTTTATCTATTAAGGTCTCCCCAATTTACACGAGAGATTAGTTATTGACTTATTGTCATTTTGATCAAAAAAAGGTTTCTTTTTGTTTTAGGTAACATTTTCTTATTACAGCTTCTAAATCAACTATGGAGACCTGCTGATAGCTGGACAGTTCATTGCAAGAAATTTAAACATTTGACAATAGATATGTAATAGTGAAACTTTACCCTTTTAAAATGCTCAACTTCTTGCTCCAGTTGTAATGCATCGGATTTTCCTTCCGCTTGATCTTGAGAGCTAATCACCAAGGGTTCCTGGCTTTGTTGTTTAACCACCTGCAAAGAAAAATGAATCACTAAGGATCTTGTGACATCAGATTGAATACAGAGCCTGAAACTGAAAATATATGACTGTCGCATTTCACATATTCACCGCTCACCCTCATTGATTATACTAAATGCACGCTGATAAGGTAATGATTTACTTAATGCACATGAAAAGGAAGTGGTAACTGGTAGGGTATAGAGTGATACAAACAAAAAATACTTACAAGTTTGAAGCTATTAGTAGATTCAAGAAACTCAAATTCTTGGAGATCCATATTCTCACTCCGTTGAAGTAGAACAGATAATCGTATAATCAAGCACATGATAATGAACTTTCGCTTTGCCTAAAACAGATAGTACAAGGATCAGAACAACAACATAAACAGGTTGAGCGTAGTTTGAAAATACTAACCTTCTCAGCAAAGTTCTTAAAAGGTGCACGATCAAGCTTGGGAAACTTCTTTCTTTGGTATCTCGTAAGCAATGCTATAAGCTGCAAAATCATGTGACCCTAATCAGAGAAACAGTAAGCTCAAGACAAGTTCTTCCTTCTAGAGGATTAGGTATCATACCTCGACTTCCTCAACGGTGTAGCTGTAGAGATGATCTCCATTCTACAAAAGAAGAAAGTATTAATAACAAAGAGGTTAAAAGTAGACATTGAAAACCAACAAAAAGGTTTATAAAATTGCTATGTTCAGTGATTTTTTTTTTTACAGAGTCAGATGAACTAACCTTGATGATCTGATAAGACTGCTTATGATACCCCTTTTTCCCTGTGATGATTCCGATATTGTGTAAGAAACAAGCAGCTTCAAGATACTCAAGATCCTTATCATCTAATATAACGTTAAAGTCATTGCACTTCCTCAAACCTACAAAGATCTCCTGAAAAATCATTACCCTATCAAATTTATAGAAGCAATAAAAAATCGCCGTATCAAAATGTGCAACGCTAAATATACGGTGCAACAATCTTCATGAAAAAACTGTTACGCAATATCACACTGCTTATAACGGCTAAAATATACCTTGGCGATGTTAGCACAGTGTATGGCATGATTCATTCTCTTCTTCCCATTAAGCCGCGTGGCAAGCCTCATAACCGATCTCCACCTCGCATTACCATTAAAATCACACACTCCACCAAAAGCTTTACCCAAAGAATCAGCAATCACACCTTCCCCCAACGCATACTCCGAAACCTCCATCTCCTCAATCCCCAAAGCCTCAAAAACCTCCTCCAACAAAACCGCCCCAGCAACAATAAACTCCGCTCTCCTACCAAAAAAACCTTCCCTCCTAACCACCTCCTCATCTCCTTCCCCACACAACTTCTCCACAACACTACTCAACTCCCCTCTCCCAAATCTCCAATCCCTCTTATACCCCTCCTCCTCAAGATGATTACACAAATCACTCCCATAGCCACTAAAAACAGCCTTCTCAATACCTCGAATCGTCCCCGAACACCCCACAACAACCTCAAACCCTCTCAACCTCTCCCTTAAACAACTCTCATCAATCACACGGCGTATATACTCCCTCATCTCCACGATCCCAACCCCCATCTTCGTCAGATTCACATGACCTAACCGCAAAGAAACAGCAATCATCACTTTCCCGCCCACACCTACAACAAACTCAGTGGATCCGCCTCCTATATCTACACACAGCACAGTCCTCTCAAACACAGGCAAAAACTGAATCACACCTAAGTAAACCAACCTCGCTTCCTCCTCTCCGGTTAAAACGTCGATCTGTAATCCGACGTCGTTTAAGACAGTCTCCACGAATTGGTTCCGGTTTTCGGCTTGGCGTAGGGCTTCGGTTGCGACGCAGCGGACGCGGTGAGGGGGGATTCGGTGGGAGAGGATTAGGGATTTGAATTTGCGGAGGGAGTGGAGGGCGCGGGATTGGGAGTGAGGGGAGATTGAGGTTGGGGAGTCGCGGGAGAGGACGACGGGGTCGTTGAGACGGTGGATTGGGAGGAAGGATTTGGTGAGAGGATTGGTTTGGACTATGAGGAGTTTGAAGGAGTTTGTTCCCATGTCGATGGAGGTGAAGAGGTGTTGTGGTGGTGGTGGTGATGGTGGTGATACGGTAGGATTGGTGGAGTTCATCGTCTTAGCTTCTCTTCTTCTCCGTCTTTGCTCAGAATTCAAATTTGGAATTTCGGAATTGTCACCGGAAAATTATTGAATTCAAAATCTATTGGTTGTAGGCTTGTAGCTACAAGGTAAAGAAGAAGAAAATATCAACCAAAAAAAAGTCATAACCAAGAGTGTAGTATGGATCCAAATATCCAATATATATTCAAAGAAAATTTTAAAATAATTTGATTTAATGAGTTCATATGATTTAAATAAAACTAGATTTTGAAAGCGCGGGTTTATTTTACCTTTTTGATAAAATTTATTTGAATTGATAAATTTTATTTTAACACAAAAAATAAAAGTTGTTCTACTAATATTAAAATGTTCTATTATATTGTTTTATTTTTACGTATTGTATGTTTTTCTATCTGATCGAGACTCATAGTTAAACTGATATATCCGACAATCTTTTGTATAATCCGGTTAATATTATATGAAATTTTATTAATTTAGATTTGATAAAACTGGTAAATATCCAAAAATCCTCTATTAATCCGCAATATAATATCCGTAGGTCCCAAAAAAACTTATAACATTTTTTAAAAAAAATTAGATAAATAACACATAGTTTTAATATTAAATAAAATTGATTTTTTTTGTAATTTCTTAGACTTTAATGATTTTTTTTCATTTGAAAATATGAAACAATGGTAATAGAAAAAAAAATATTCATATAACAATATTTTTTTGTTATTAATAACCTATGATAATTTTATATTTTCACTTATTTTATATCTAAAAGTAATTTAAAAAAAATTGAATGGGCATATCAATTATGACATAATAAATAATAGTTTTAACTTTTTATTGCTAAATGATATTATGCACGAAAATAGGATATTAAAATTAAAATAAAATAGAAATAACATTAAAATAAAATTATTATTAAGCACAAAATCAGGGAATTATTAGTTACCTTAAATATAGGAAATATTTAGTTTTTTAGTTTAAATAAATAATAATTATATTAAATTAAATGCTAATGGCATATCTTTGTAAATAACTCATAAAACTATGGGCAGAATCCTATGAGGGATCCTGCTTTAATAGTATAGATAAAGAACTTACTATGAATTAATTTAGATGTTTGAAAATTTTCCTTACAACATTTTTAAAAATCACTATATTTTTTTACAAAATCTACCATTTTTCTTATTTTTAGTAAAAAGAAATCTTATAATCGTAAATTCAGTAGAGAAAACACAAAAAGAGAAAATTCTCTCAGATAAACCTAAAAAAAAAATTGTCATAAATATAGATCTTAAGAATAAAAATAAATAAAATAAACTTAAATATTTTATCAAAAATAAATAAATATACAACTATATCATTTAGATTAATGAATCCTATTTTACAGTTGAGGATTATGGTTCACGGTTTCAAATTTAAAAAAAAAACTTAAAATTTTCAAAAAAATTGTTGTTTTTAAAGTCTATTTTTGTGATAAAAATTTAAAATGGTCTATTTTAAGATAATTGCCAAACAAAAAAGTACATATTTAATTTGTTATTTTAGAAGAAATCACTTCAAATAAATGATCGGTTTTCTCTATTATATACTAAATTTGTGATAAAAAAAAAGTTTATGGTAATAAAAATTGACCTCATATTTTTATTGATATTTTTCCATTTTCAGATTTATTATTCATATGAAAGTTACTCACAAAGCAAAAGTAACTACTGCTTGTATCAGTTTTTCTTCTGAATGAATGTTTATATATTTAATTTGTGTTATTAGCTGCTTTGTTTTATCTGCTTTGTTCTGAATGAATCTCTATTAGCTGCTTTGTTCTGAATGAATGTTTAAAAATTTTGGAGTTAAAGAATAACATAAAGAAGACTTTTTTTTTTTTGCAATGTACTTGCTATAATATTATAATTAATTTAGATCTCAATATACTCAATATCAAATCATTGCCAAGGACAGACCACAAACAAATACATACATATGCAAAAGAATAGTAAAAAGTCAAACACAATACATCACAGCGATACAAATACAATCATGCAAACTGTAGCACTCAAGAGTCAAGACAATATTGTTATCAAAGTCGACCCACATTAATAATTTAATATTACTGTTTTAACCTATAACGATCAAACAGCTTACGAAGACAATAAACAATAGAGTACCCATGAGACCACGGTGTTTTATGTAGTCACCGCCGCAGCTTTTAAGATGGCCGTCACCGCTGCCACCACCATTTCCCTCACTACCGCTCTCAGAAGAATTCCCACCGCCACCACTACCTCCTACTCTACCGCTTCCACCGACTCCACCACCACTATCTCCACCACTGCCACCACCACTATCTCCACCACCGCCGCTTCCTCCGCCACCACCACCACCACCACCTCGAAGCTCACGCCGCAAACTGAGGAAATCTTCCTCCATTACTGTCGTGGAATTGGGTTGAAGATGGACGACGGCTAAGGCAGAGGTGCACGCATGAATCGTTAGTAACAATAGTAACACGTGAGGCATTAGTTTCATGAGTGGGTGCATCTCCATCGTATTAAAATTTTATGTTATTATCAGTATAGAGTAGTAGTACAATATGGGGTTGTGTGTACATATGATCCGTATAGTCCTCTATTTATACGGATATCATCCTGTCAACGTCAAATCTTATATATTAAAACAGAAGTCATGACTTGACTTCATGTGTGATTTTTTAAAAAATGGACTATTACTAGAAAGTTATGTTACATTAACTCTATAATAATCTTATCATTATTATATCTTATGAAAAATCATATCTATAATAACAAAGATATGCTTAACAATTTGGTTTTGGTAAATTACCCCACACTTTCCAACTTAGTCACGTAAAATATATCAATAGATATAAGTTTAGGAATCTTCTATTATTTAGAAGGAAATATGTCAATAATAGTTAAATGCATCCACAATATATTAACAAAAATCACAGATTAGTAATATGAAATATTTATATACTCTAACAAAATTTACACACTATATATACTAGATAAATTTATTTCGATGTAAATTTTTAAAATTATATTGTTTAAAAAAAAAAGAAATTGTTTAAAAAATTCTTTTTCTTAAAATATTTTATAAAATTAATTTATGAAGCTATAAGTTTAGTTTTTAGCAAAAATTTCTTCGAACTTTATATTATCTTTGCAAATTAAAGTATACTAATATTTAATTAAGCTCTATTTATATTACTTTATCTAAAAATAAAATAATAATCTAACAAACAATAAAATATAGAAGAAGAAATAAACACATGTTTGAAAAACATTTCAAACATGTATAATATAGAAAATTTGAAACAATCTATTTGATTAAAACACGTATTATATAATAATATTATTATGTTTGAAAAATATTTACTATACATATCGTAAATATGTTATTACTATAATATATACCAATTTACAAGTGAAAACAAAATGTTTATATACCTAACTATAAACGAAAATAAACACCCGCGCGGTTGCGCGGGTCAACGTCAAATCTTCTATTTATGTTTTATCATATCATGTGTAATGGCAACTCTCGAGAATAATTCTCCTTTTTTTTTCTTTGTAACACGAATCATTCTCCTTCCTTGAGAGTTGAAAAACAATAAATGGATACCACCACTAGACATTTTAAAATAAATATAATATTCGTAATCGTAGCAAGTGGTGGAAGTCACATACTCCATATGTGGTATGGTAAACAAATGTAGTCGTTAAGTGAAATGAGAAATCCAACGGAAAAAAAAGAAAAGATTAATTAGTCTACGAAAGTCAAATGTCAACTTTTTAAGTCTTGGCCAATTATTTATTTCGATAACCAAGGACCTTTTTTTTTTTTTTTTTTTTTTTTTACCAAGGACCTTATTTATGTTTATTTTCAAAGGTTTACCATTTCTTTTCGAATATTTAAAAATACATCAACGTTATCGGAATATTAATCTGTTTGGTAAGATTGCAAACGTGTTGTGTGTTGACTATTCAATCCATGGGTTGGAACTTCGAGCAGCTCACGCAATTTTACCATTAATACATCATCTCCGTACGTTCAATATAGAGTGAAGGTATGTTCTTGAACAATGTAAGAGCTCAAATGAATTCCAAGGCTTTATCATACACTGAAAATGAATTCCAAGGCTTATCTCCTATACGTCCAACATGCTTCAGAATATATTTTGTTCCCATGTCAATAGAGGTGAACAGATTAATCGATGATACGGCATGGCTCGAATGTAAATGGGAGGAGCTCATGTCTTTGTCTCCTTCTTTGCTCGAATGTTTTCACACCCAAATTTAATATAGAATTTTTCGCCAGTTATTGTTTAAAAAAAAAAAAATTCCCGCATGACGTCTTGCCTTTGTGAAGGTTAAATAGATATTTGAATATTTAACTAATTCTCACCTTATTCGAATAATATTTTCAGTTTTATTATTCATGATATAGTATTCACAAGAAATAGTTAATAATTCTTGTATCAATGTGTTCTTACTTCTTCTAATCTTTTCTATTTCTTGTAGCTGGAATAATTTTTAAAAATTCCTTTTTAAATAGTAACATTTTGTACTATAAAGGAGATAATTTTTTTTTTGCAATGCATCTGCAAAATATTAGATTTTAATATTCATATATGCAAAAGAATAATAAAAGTCAAAACACAATACATTACAACTGTACAATAAATAAACCGTTAGCATTAAAGAAAATATGTGTCAAAGTCTATATACAAATATAGTTATGAAAGAAAGAAGCCATGTAATTACTGTTTTAACGTATAAGAATCAAACAGCTTACGAAGACTATAGATATTAGAGTACCCGTGACACCACGGTGTTTGAGGCACTCAGCGCCGCTTCTTATAATATGGCCGCCGCCGCTGCTACCACCGCTATTACCATTTCCCCCGCTGCCGCCCCCACCGCTACCGCCCCCAGAAGATCCTTCATCACCATCATCTCCTCCTCGACCGCTGCTACCGCCTCGACCATTCCTAGCGCCACCACTACCACCCCCTCGACCACTGCTACCTCCTCCACCACCACCACGACCTCCTCCACCGCCACCACTTCCACCACCACGCCCTCCTCCACCGCCACTACTTCCTCCTCCTCCTCCGCCTCGAAGCTCTCGCCGCCAACCCGGGAAATCCACCTCAATTACTGCCGTGGAATTGGGTTGGATATGGACGGCTGAGACATAGGTGTACGCATGAATCACTAGTAACAATAGTAACACGTGAGGCATTAGCTTGTACATTTCCACAATATTATTCTTGTATGTCAATATGTTATGTTATTATCAGTTTAGAGAACAAAATGGGATTGTGTTTCATATGATCCGTATAGACCTCTATTTATACGTATCTCATCCGGTCAAAGTCAAATTTCAATTTATTTCATCATATGTAATGATAACTCTTGCGAATCATTCTCAGTTCCTTGAGAAACAAGAAATGAGTAACATTACTACAAAATTTAATTAAATATATTTTAGCCTTTTCTAGTTATAACCACGGTAGCAAGTGGTGTACAGTGTCATGCATATGTGTTGAATCGAGTTTTCTGTTTTTTTTAAAGACGTACAAATCGAATCGTTAGGTGAAATGGAAAATCACGAAGGAAAAAGGAAACATTCTTCAAAATCAGATGCCAAATTTGAAAGTCTTAACCATATACTGGTTCAGATAACAATTGGGCCTCATTGAGTTTGATACGCTATTGATTTGAAAATCATATTCAATTTCTGCTACTTTTTTCAAAGTTTTACCATTTCTTTTCAGTTATTATAAAATACGTCGATGTTGTCGGAATATTAATTAGTTTGGTAAGACACAAACGTGTTGTGTCTTGACTATTCCTTTTTTTTTTTTGGGTTAAATTTAGTGTCTTGACTATTCAATCCGTCGGTTGGAAACGTCGAGCAGCTCACGTAATATTACCATCAATAGTAGTGCTGGTTTATCCTAACCCGAGCTTAATATTGATTGTAAAAGCATTTGTATGAGTTCTAAGATCGTAAAATGTCGTGATTAGTCACTACAGAGCAAGAGTTAACATAAATAAAAGATTAATACAATTAAACAATATTTCCGTTCATTTATTCTAGTGATTTCCTTTTAAATTATTCTAGTGAAAATGTATTATATATTGACTAACAATAATGTATAATAGCTCAAATGAATTTTAAGGCTTATCATAAAATGAAAACGTAATCAAAAGGGCATCCCCAAAGACTTAATTATACTTCCTTGATGTTTCTGAAGTATTTTGTTTCTTTACATCGCTGCCTATGTGTTCGATGCAAACTTTATTCTTTTAACGTATTAATGTTTCAGCGAAAAATACTTAACCCTAAATCTCCGACCATGGCTAACTACATTTACTTACGTAAAGGTTGCCAACTAGTGGTGCTAAAACTAATCCTAAAGGCTGAAACTATAAAAGTTTCCAAATATTAAAACGGTAGCGACCTTTATAACTTCGTGGTAATACGTGTATGCTTTTCCAATATTTTAGGTATATATACTCACGACATTAAAAAATAAATTATATACATGCTCGCTCATTTTCTGAATGAGTTGGTATCATGTTCAATAAATATATTACAAAGAGAAAGTATAATAGGATTTACAAATAAAAAGAGAGTCTACAAAAATTTAAAAATCTCTAATTTTAAATTAAATGGAATAATGGATAATTAAATGGATCGTTTTCAAAAGATGTGGCTACGATCATCATCAGCAGAACTTTTTTTCTTTTGTATTTCTTAATATCTTATTTCTTGTTGAACGAATTATGTCTTAGTTCTTTGCATAAATTATAAATTAATTCCATGCCGGCCTTTAATTATTACTGGTTTAATTATAAAACTATCCAATCATGATATCATGTTTATTAGCCTAAAAACATATACGCAAGAAAAAAAATTGTTATACAAAATAGCTATAAAAATTCTCCTTTAGTGATAAAGTCAAGTTTACGATCAAAATGCTCTGTATCGGCAGACGGCTGTATACATATAGTCTAAAGCTATAATAAAGTCTTTATTTAACTTTTGTATCTTATTTAGAGTTTATACTTTATACACTGAACTTTACAATAAAGTTCAGATTAAACACAAATTCGATCCCTATTACTGGATTTTTCTCTTATATAACTAATATACGCATATAATTCTTAGATTTGAACCTAGATCATGATAAAAATGACATTAGTGCAAATGATTCGGATACAAAAATTTAATGGTTACAGATTTTGTGAACTGAAAACATATTTGGAGAATGCCCAACTTATTATTACCATTATGGTAGATGGTTGATATTAAATAAATATACGGAATATAAATTCTTTTGAGCTAAATATCTTTTCACCACAACTATATATGTACGTACATATTAAAATAAAGCAGTAATTAACAATAGAAAAAAAATACAAGGATTTTTATTTTTATATTGAAATTGTCCATCTATAGAAACCCAGGAGACTCGGAGCCTTTGGGTTCATGCGTCGCTCTTCTTTTTCATCTTCTACTTTTCTTTTGATCTTATAAAGAAAAGAGATAGGTCATTGCTTTCTCGAATATTCTCACTTTCTTGATATACTTTTATAAATCTGAGCAAACATTCTACACACAAGTGAATATCCTTCCTTGTATATCTACACACAGCTTTGATATTTCTTTGTTCGGTTTTGGAAAAGAAAAGTCTTATAGAATTCAAGTTCTTGATTGTGAGATTCTCTAAGTCTAAATTCAGAAGTTTGAATTTGGAAAGTTAGAGAGGTATCTTGTTGATCAAGCTAAAAAGCATTGATTGTTTCTTAATGGCGACGGAGCAACAAGATTCACGACTCTGTTTGGCGTCGATCCTCGAGGATTTTATCAAAGAACGAAACATTCAAGTTAGCGTTGATGTTGTTGATTCCAGTTCCAAAAATGCCGATGAAACTTGTACGTCCCCTGTTCTTTCTTTCTTTCTTTCCTTTTTGGTTCTTTGGATTATCTGAAACTAGGGTTTTTAATTTATCATTGGATGACCAAATACTATTATGATCTTCTCGTTTGACCGATGGTTTTATAGAATCTCTTGCTTTTGATCTTGTTAGCTTCTTACTTGATCGAATAAGAAGAATCTTGACGTTTCTTGTTTGTCCTAAGACCATCATGAGCTTAACCATTGTATATTCACTTTAATTACACATCATTTTTTTGAGAAAAAACAAACTCAATTTGGTGTAGTAGTTGGAGGAAGAGATTTGCCAGCAGATCCATCAGACTTGAAAAGGAATGAAGCAGCAAGATGGCTAAGAAACACACTTGGTGTAGTTCAAGGAAGAGATTTGCCTGCAGATCCTTCTGAGGATGCTTTCAGAATTGCATTGAGAAGTGGCATTTTGCTCTGCAATGTCCTCAACAAAGTTAAACCTGGTGCTGTCCCAAAAGTATGCTCTCACCTATTATTTTTCATCTTTTTCTTGAATATTACTAATAAACTTTACAGAATATTCTTATGGATTATAAATATATCTATAATGTATTCAAGCTAGACTTTGTAAAGACTTTTGGTAGACCTTTAGGCCTGCTTCTGTAAAGTTGTGCTAGGCATGATTACTAACCATTTTTTTTTTCTGTGTTTAGGTGTTTCATAAATTAATATTTTAATAGCCAATGTTTTTTTTATTTGTGATCAGTCTTTGATTCTGTTGCTACTACACTTGCACAGGTCGTTGAAGCTCCAAATGATCCTCTTGTTAACCAAGACGGTGCAGCAGCTCTATCTGCATTTCAGTACTTTGAGAACCTTAGAAACTTTCTTGTGGTTGTGGAAGAAATGGGTATCCCCACATTTGAAGTCTCCGATTTTGAGAAGGTAATCAGAACATATCAATGCCTAGTAATGGAATTGCAACAAAAGTAGAGTTGATGCTTAGTAGAGAGTTAGGTAAATCAATTGTCATCAAGGCATATTGACCTACCTTGCCGGAGGGGCTACCTAGACAAAATCTAAAACGGTCGGTGTCTCATGCTTGGAAACGATTCCATCATTTGGTACAATAAGTTGCAGACACATCCATGGCATAGTCGTGGTGGGGTCACTAGTGTTGGAAATAGAAATCATAAGCTATGCTAAAGAACTGTATTTTATTGTATTTTGTTTAAGTAGTGTTTAACTTTTTTTATTCAGCAATTAGAATAACTAGCTGTACTAAACTAAACAAACTATGTGTTTGTGGTTGATGTGTTACCAGGGAGGTAAATCCTCAAGAATAGTGGAGTGTGTCTTGGCTCTCAAGTCATACCGTGAGTGGAAACAGAGCGGTGGAAGCGGTACATGGAGATACATTGTGACTTCGAAACCAACCACGTTTGGGATCGCAAAACAATACAAACGCAAAGACTCAGAATCACCAGTGGATAATGCAGTCACAACAAGTAGCCCTTCTAACACTCCATTCAGTGAACAGCCTCTGTTTGATTCCAATACCAAAAACGAAGTTAGTGTGAGCTAATACAAACCCTAATACTGTTTTGAAATAGAGAATCTCAACTTAATATTTTTTGGTTTTGTTTCAGGGAACTGTTAGTTCAGTAGATGCTATTGTCCGTGCGGTTTTTTCTGATAAGAGTAAAGAAGAAGTTCCCAGTGTAAGCATTAACAACATTCCTATAGTTCTTTTACTTAATCTTCTTTTGTAATGCTGATCTTGTTTTAATTTCATAGATTGTGGAAGATATGCTGAATAGCGTCATGGTGGAATATGAACGTAGACTGGCTACACAAAACGAACTGGTAAGCAATTTATTAGTTATCTAAGTTGTATCAAGTGTTATTTATTATATGTGCCACTGATTTACACATTACATGTTTTTCAGTACAAAGAAGAAGATGTAACAAAGATGGTAAACAACAACATGGAAGCTTCACAAGCTAATAACGCTGCAGAAGAAACTAAAATTCAAGATCTTGACGTCTATGTAATTTCAAAAGAGAAGACTGAGAAGCAGCAAATGATTCTTGACAGACAGCAAACTCATACTGAGGTATAACTGCCATACTGTTTCTTTTATCAAGACTTTGTATTATTATGTGATTACTAATGCAGAAGATTTATATTGTTATCAGGAACTAAAACACGATATAAAGGCTGTAAGAGCGAATCTTAGTCTCTTGCAGATGAAATACCAGCAAGAGTTTACAAGTTTAGGTGATCAGAACAGCCCTATAGATACTATATGTTTTAATTCAATTATGATTATTGAGACGTTTTTATTGGTGTTAGGTGAGCATTTGCGTGGACTTGCTTATGCAGCTACAGGATATCAAAGAGTTCTTGAAGAGAACCGTAAACTTTACAATCAAGTCCAAGATCTCAAAGGTAAAACACAATAACACAATGCTCTACAATCACCAAGTTACACTTTTATAAAGTGAGTCTAATATGAGTGTGATAACAGGGAGCATACGAGTTTATTGTCGTGTGAGACCGTTCTTGCCTGGACAAACAAGTGTCTTAACCACAGTGGACCGCATAGAGGAGTCAACTATATCAATTGCTACACCTTCCAAGTATGGCAAAGAAGGTCACAAGTCATTCACCTTCAACAAAGTCTTTGGCCCTTCAGCATCTCAAGGTAATGATCTCAAAGTGTACTTATTGGATTCATCAAAGAATGTTAGCTTTTTTTTTTACTACTTTGGAACTTGTAGAGGCGGTGTTTGCAGACACTCAACCTTTGATCAGGTCTGTTCTTGATGGTTACAACGTTTGCATATTTGCTTATGGCCAAACCGGATCAGGAAAAACTTTCACCATGGTAACTATTCAACTTAATCTGAAATAACTTTTCACCATGTGATGTGATCTAATCTCTTCTGATAAAATAAACAGATGGGACCTAATGAACTAACTGAAGAGAGCTTAGGAGTAAACTACAGAGCATTGAGTGATCTTTTCCATCTCTCAAGTGTGAGGAAAGAAACATTTTCTTACAAAATCTCAGTTCAGATGCTTGAAATCTACAACGAGCAAGTCAGAGATCTTCTTGCAACCAATGGCCAAACCAGCAGATATCCTTTTCTCAAGAATTTTGTATAACTTCTTATAATTACTTCTTTGCATGATCATTAAATCATTCTGTTTTTATAACTTTCCTTGACTTGCGAAACACGTTAGAGATCCGAAACAGTTCAGCAGATGGAATCAACGTTCCAGACGCTACACTAGTACCAGTCTCCACAACTTCAGACGTCATACATCTGATGAATCTTGGTCAAAAGAACCGTGCGGTCAGCTCCACAGCCATGAACGACCGTAGTAGCCGCTCTCACAGTTGTCTCACGGTACATGTTCAAGGAAGAGATCTGACTTCAGGAGCTACACTAAGAGGCTCAATGCATTTGGTTGATCTTGCTGGAAGCGAGAGGGTGGACAAGTCTGAGGTCACTGGTGATAGGTTGAAAGAGGCGCAACACATCAACAAGTCTTTATCTGCTCTTGGTGATGTGATTGCGTCTCTCTCTCAGAAAAATAATCACATCCCTTATCGTAATAGCAAACTCACTCAACTGCTTCAAGACTCGTTAGGTAATAATCATTATAACATTTATTTACTTTTAAAAGTTTTGTAACCAAACTCTATATAATTGTTTGTGTAGGAGGACAAGCTAAAACACTAATGTTTATACACATTAGCCCTGAAGTGGATACTCTGGGAGAAACACTAAGCACATTGAAATTTGCGGAGAGAGTGGCTACTGTTGAGCTTGGTGCTGCTCGTGTGAATAAAGATACTTCTGAGGTTAAAGAACTCAAAGAACAGGTCAATGTCTTCATTAAACATTGTTACATTATTTACATACATTTGTCTGAATATTAATAGTTGTGATTTGGTTGCAGATTGCTAGTTTGAAACTTGCGTTGGCGAGAAAGGAGAGTGAGACAGATCAAACAAGAGTCATTACACCTGAGAAACTAATCAGAAGAAAGTCACTTGGTGTCTCTAAATCAGCAAACCCAAGACAGTTTCAGACAAAACATAAGCCATCACTGGTTGATGATGTCAACAGCATTGAGGTAACAAAAACTCACACAGCAACTAACAACAACAGACATGAAACTAATAACGTACAGTGACATTACTTTGCAGGGTCAAAGCGACTCTGCATCGAGCGTTGACTTAGCAGGACTAGTTGGTTCATCACCGTCATGTAAAAGCCCGTCTACGGATGAGAAAGAGGAGGAAGTGAAGGAGATTAGCGAATGGGTTGATAAACACGAAGACGAGATCACACGTGGTAACAAATTACAAACACAGTTAGATAAGAGAGTGTCTAGTTTGAAACGTGAACCATCAATATCACGTGGCAACGTGGTGGTAGATAAAGGGTTTGAGGTGAGGACGATACCATACGAAGAAGAAGCGAATGAGTCTGATGAGACGGCGACAAGTGATGGGTCTGAGCCGTCTAACATGATGTGGCAGTTGAATGTTCAAGTGAATGTGCCTAGAGCAGCAGCAGCTTCTAATGGCTCTTCTGGTTCATCAACTAAGCTAAAGAAGACTCTGACAAAAACCAAGTGAGTTTTTATTATTTTATAAATGATTTTTAGAAATGATTTTGGAATGTTTTTGCTAATATGTTGATGATGATCAGGAGTATGATACCGTCGCTTATACCGACGCCTACAAGGAGACTATCACTTGGAGCAAATGGTTCACCAGGACAAACTTCATCCACAAGGCAGAGTAGTAACACTGTAGTTGTGAAGAAGAGACAGAATCCTAAGTAATGATAATAGTAGTCAAAGGTGTTATAAACATTTTGGGCTTTTTTGGTTTTGGTTTTGGTTTTGGTTTTGGGGGAGTCCGTTCATATGTGGTGGTCATATATATATAGATGCCATATACGAAGAGTAGGAATACGTGTGAACCATAGGTTATATACTTGGATATGTTTTTTTGTTTGTTTTGGGTGGCATTTTGTAGAAAAAGAACTTGTGTTCATTCTATGGGGGTTTTCTTGTATTTTCTTTGATTGTAAATTGATATTGATTGTCGATATATTTTGTATACTACTTCTCAACACATGGCTACTTTTATCATTTTACTAAGCATTTCTGTTTGTGAAAGACAACTAAATAATATGCATTTTAACCATGAAACGACCATATATTTATTATTTATACATTTTGCAAAAGACTAAAGATTCGAATGGTAATCAACTGTCCCACATCTCACACCACTGTGAATAATAACAAAAATTTCTATATATATCTATGTATCTATATGTTTTTATTAGTATTTAAACCACACCGCACTTTAACCGCAGTTGTCTCGCACGTTACAATTAAAATCTTAAATATTCAGTGCCAGTAAACTAATATGAATTTGTAAATGTATACTACCAAAGAGAAAAAAAAAACTGTAGTATGATTAGTGAGGATTTGTTAGACCACCTCCATCGATGGGATTAGGAGGGGGTTCTTAAAGAATAAAGTGAAAAAAATAAATCAAAAATGGGTTAATTCCAAAGAACCGCTGCCTTATAAGGAGGTTTAAGAGAAGGTAAAAACCCCATACGTGGCACACTCCTATTGGGCAGTTCCTTTTCCACGGAAGGGGACAAAAATGGTGTCTTTCTCTTTCGTAGACGGTGGTGTCTCTCATCTTCGATTCCAGCTGATCTCTGTTGATTCCGAAATCTCCAACGGAGATGATTATCATCCTCTTCTCTCTTCCTCGTCGGTTCGTCGTCGAATCTGAGTGTCCCTTGTTCGATTTCGTTGGTTCTGTAGAAATCTCCAACGGAGATTCGTTTCTTTCTTCGTCGATGTTGTTCTCCAGAATCGTCCATGCGATCACCATGAAGGTTTGGTTTCTATTATATATTTGTTCCCGTCAATTGAATTCCTTCCATAAAGCTTTGAAATTTTTTGTTTAGATGATGAGATTTTACTATGCATGTCTCAGATTTTGCTATTGGTTAACTGAGAATGAAGAATGTCTTTTTCGTTTTCCCTTCTAATGCTGTTATTATTATATTGTAGGTTTCTGACGCAAGTCAGAGTTTCCGAGGTAGTACTAGTGGAGTTTACCGCCAACATACATATTCAGGGATAAAAGAGGTGCTTACAATGGCTTATAAAGAAGGGGGAGTACGTGGGCTATATCGAGGCATAGGTAAATCTCACAAACTTTGCTTGCATTAATAAGTTTATTTCAGATTTCACAGTTTGATCATAGTTTCAAAGCAATACCAATCTTGGTTGATATTTTTCAACAAACTGACTCTTAAACTCTTTCTTTATGTGTGTGTGCTGTGTGTGCACTGTAATAGTTTTCTTAATTTGGATTTGGAGATGGTTATAAATGGTTGAGGCTTTCTTAATTTCATGTTGGCAAGCTAGTTTGAGATTGAGTTTGTTTATGTTTCAGTTTAATGTTTGCGTTTGTTAGTTTAATGTCTGAGTTTGTGTCTGTTTTACGTTTCAGTTTGATGTCGTCTTGAATCTTGTTGGCGGTTCGCATCTTTTTGCCCCATGATTCCGTGGTGACAAAAGTATTGAGTAAACCCTTTGAAGCTAACAAGAGGAGGTAAAGGAGAAGATGATAGTTCCATTCTTTTAAAAAAAAATTGGGTTCTCTTCTTATATGTGCTCTGTATTTTTCTTATATGTGCTCTTATTGCTTGTGACTCACCATGTTTCGCTTCAGTTTTTGCAGGTGAAGCTTGGGACAAGGACATGTTAATCAAGTCTACTACTCAGATCACAACGTTGCTTTGTGGTGGTAAGAGTCATCATGTTTAATTTGGTTATGCTAGACTGCAATGTGATCCTTTTTTTCTATGCTATACATATTCTTATTTTTTAAGAACCCCTATGAGATTCTCCCATTGGAGGTCAAAAAATTAATTAACACTTACCTAGGTTCTTCAGCTTTCAAATCACCTTATTAACTCTTAAATTAATCTAAAGAACCCATAAGAGGTTCCAATGGATGGAGGTGCTCTTAGCTACTTTCAATTGATTATTAGTAACTAGTGGCAGTCTGACTCTAAATGGATGTGATGTAAAACTGCTCCAAGTAAAAAATAGTCAAAACCTAAAAACAAATTGACAAAAGTGGATTGGGTTTTGTCACCTTTTAGGGGTATTTCCGTCAATCAGCGGATAAAATTAGCTGTCTCGAACACCCGCGTCGCTTTTTTCTCTTTGCCCAATCTGAGAAAGAAGAAATCACACCCAAAAGAAAAAAATCTGCGGCAACTTCTTCGTCTCTCCTTTCTCTTGTTCACGCGGTTACAGGCTCATAATTCCCCATTTCTATTTACTGACGACGTCTTTCACGGAGAATCAGCAAAGAACTCAGCATTATTATTATTATAAATGAGCAAACTTTTCTGCTAGATCTACTCTCTATCTTCTTAACTACTCAGACATATCTCTTTGGTGAGTTTCTGTCTGAAGAAACCTCAAATAATAGTGTCCCTTTACTGATTCTACTGTTTCTCTGTTCGATTAGACTTTAATATGTTAAATATTAGCAAAATGTGAGATTTTTTTAGAATTCCCGTAGATTAGGGTTTTCTTCTATTTGTTTGATTGATTTTTGTTTGTTTTTAATATAAATTGAACTCAGTGATGTTTGGTTCCACTAAAGAATGTGTCTTTTTGATAAATTAGATTCCTTTTTTTTTTTTTTTGCAGCTAAATGCTGAAGGATTAAAGGGTTAATAAGATGAGTCCTACAAAAGCATCATCGAGGACGAAACAATCACTTGTTCCTCTTGCAACCCTTATTGGTAGGGAGCTTAGGAGCGAGAAGCTGGAGAAGCCTTTACTCATCTATGGTCAAGCTGCTCTAGCTAAGAAGGGAGAAGACTTTTTTTTGATTAAAACTGATTGTGAGAGGGTTCCTGGTGATCCTTCCTCTGCTTTTTCTGTTTTCGGGGTAAAGGTTTTCTCTTTCTTTTGTTTTGTGAGTTAAGGAGATTTGCGTTCGTAGACTCAAAGTTTGGTTTTTATTTTTTGTAGATATTTGATGGTCATAATGGTAATTCAGCTGCTATATATACTAAGGAGCATCTTTTGGATAATGTGGTGAGTGCTATTCCTCAAGGTGCAAGTAGGGAAGAGTGGCTTCAAGCTTTGCCTAGGGCTCTTGTTGCAGGGTTTGTTAAAACCGATATTGAGTTTCAGCAGAAAGGTCTAGCTCTTTGCTTCCTTACTTTAATATTCATTTTCGAGTATGCTATAACTGTTAGGATCTGTTGTGTTTACAGGGGAAACTTCTGGAACGACGGTGACGTTTGTTATAATTGATGGTTGGACTATCACTGTTGGTTCTGTTGGTGACTCACGGTGTATATTAGACACCCAAGGTGGTGTTGTTTCTCTGCTGACTGTTGATCACAGGCTGGAAGAGAATGTTGAAGAGAGAGAACGTGTAACTGCTAGTGGGGGTGAGGTCGGAAGGCTTAATGTTTTTGGTGGTAATGAGGTATGGTTATGTCCAGTAGATTTCAGTTACCTGCTTTATTGTGTTTTGACCTGTGGTTGGGGTTTTAATGTATGATACGTCTTTGTATTTGCCATATTATTTATCTGCTTTCGTTTTGATGACGTAATAGGTTGGCCCTCTTCGATGCTGGCCTGGTGGTTTGTGTCTTTCGAGGTCCATTGGTGATACTGATGTGGGTGAATATATAGTCCCAATACCGCATGTTAAGCAAGTGAAAGTAAGTCCCCTTCCCCTTTGGTGCATTTTTACATCAATGCTTATATTATTAGACACTGAACAAAATGTTCGTTTTTGTTTTGTCATCTGTACATTCAGCTTTCAGATGCTGGAGGGAGACTCATTATAGCTTCAGATGGTATATGGGACATACTGTCTTCTGACATGGCTGCCAAAGCTTGTCGTGGGTTATCTGCTGAGCTTGCTGCTAAACTTGTTGTTAAGGTTTGGTCATTAACCCCATTGACTAAATTTTCTCCAGTGTTCATCCTCCAGTTTACATTCCTTTAAGCTCTGAATCATATGTTTGTTTTCCAGGAAGCATTGCGAACAAAAGGGTTGAAGGATGATACTACTTGTGTAGTTGTTGACATAGTTCCATCTGATCATCTTACCTTGGCTCCAACTCCTAAAAAGAAGCAGAACACATTCACCGCATTTCTTACTAAGAAAAAGCATACTGATACCAACAACAAGAACGCGAACAAGCTCTCTTCTGTTGGAGTTGAAGAACTGTTTGAAGAAGGTTCTGCTATGCTTGCAGATAGGTAAATCAATTGATATTGCCAAACTCTTAGTAACTGAGAGTTTAAGAATGCTGATAATCAGTCTTTGTCTTTATTTGGTGTTCTGATATACAGATTGGGAAAGGATCTTCCCTCGAATACAGACACTGGGCTCTTAAAGTGCGCTGTATGCCAAATAGACCAATCTCCAGGTGAAGTTCTATCAAGCAATGATGGTGGTATCATCTCCTCAGCATCTAAACGATGGGAAGGCCCCTTCTTATGCAGAGTATGCAAGAAAAAGAAAGACGCAATGGAAGGAAAAAGACCAAGCAAAGGCTCAGTGACCACTTAAAACCACTATATCTGGTAAGAAATGGCTTATGTTTCTCGTTTTTATTATCTTAACTTCTTCTTGGTGTGCTGTGAGATAGCCTGGTTAAGGTTTTGTGTTCTTTTCCCTGGCATTGATTTGGAGAAGTAGCATTAATAGTAGAAGTTTGTTGCAAAATGTTTGTAGAGAATAGAACCAATTCTTCTTATCCCATTGTTTAAGATATGTCATGGTTTGTGTTCTTTGGCTTATGCTAAACATTTACCTTGATAGATGTGTGTGTTTTAATTGTGAATCGCTAATATATTAACATGGCTTTTCCAAGTTGTCTGTAGAATTATTGAGGTTCGTGTATGTCTTTTTTTTACCTCTGGTGTGATATGAATGAGCCAGTGTGAGCTTAAAAATACTTCATGCCGCCAAAAAAAATTCAATAAAATGGCAAAAAACAAGTAACACTAGTAACTTAAATTGTACTTTTACCAAACCAACCCAATTTTTTTTTCATTAAACCATTACGCGAAACAACTTGAGAAGATGTATAATCTTTGTTGAGAACTAAATAAAGGAGATATTCCAGAAGATAGTGATGTAAACCAAAAACTTAAAATACAGAGCGCATATTTTGAGAGTACAAATAGTTGTCGGAAATCAAGGTTCGAAAGATAGTTTCATCGGACAAAAACTAGAAAGCTGGTGGATCATTCACATTGCATAGTGACATATACCAATGAAGAACCTCGACGAACCTCAAATACTATGTTTTCAGGTAACAAAGCTACGTTTCTTGACCAAACCTTTTGTCTTCCAAGAAAGGTAATATCTAAAATTTAAAGAAAATGGGCCATCATGTGGGCACTATTATCAACATGTATATATTGGTTACCTTGCCAGACACAAAACATATGTTACTTCAGAAACAAAGCAGCAACAAATCTTATTCTCTCTGTTTATTTTTTTTTTTTTTAATATTGAAGAACGTATGATGATGATGTTACCAGAAGCATGCGTGGCTAATATTCTCTCCTTCACAACTCCTGGAGATACATTCTCGTCTGCGTCTGTCTCCTCAGTTTTCCAGCTCGCTGGAGACTCTGACTTTGTCTGGGAGAAGTTTTTACCCTCCGGTTACAGCCACGTCATCTCTGCATCAACTCATCAGAACTTCTCCTCCAAAAAAGAGCTCTTTCGTTGTCTCTGTGAATCAATCCTAATCGATAATGGCAGAAAGGTTCCTTACATCATTACAATAAAACTTTTATATAAGAGATTTTCTTGACTTTGTGTGTTCAAACTCAGATATTCAAGATTGATAAGCTATCTGGGAAGATAACGTATGTTTTGTCGGCAAGAGAACTTTCCATAACTTGGAGTGATCAACGACATTACTGGTCTTGGAACCATCGATTAGATTCAAGGTCATTTTTAATTATTATTAATAAGTTTACTCTTACTGCAAAACGAGTTGATTATAATCTTTAAAAGAATTTATAATAGATTTTCAGAAGCGGTCCAACTTATAATGACGGACTGGTTAGAAATAAACGGAAAAATCCAGACAGGAGCTTTATCTCCGAACACGAGTTACGGAGCTTATCTGATCATGAAAGTGACGAAACGAGCATATGGACTAGACTTAGTTCCGGCTGAGACTTGTGTAAAAGTGGGGGAAGGTGAAAAGAAAACAAAGATGTGTTATTTAAGTTGCTTGGATGACAAGAAACAACTAATGGAGCGGGTGTTTTACGGACATAGAGAACAGAGGATGGCCACGAATGAGCCGAGGGTTAGAGACGACGGGTGGATGGAGATAGAGCTCGGAGAGTTCGAGAGAGGTGAGGAGGAAGACAAGGAGGTTGTTATGAGTCTAACTGAAGTTAAAGGGTATCAGTTGAAGGGTGGGATTGTAATTGATGGAATTGAAGTTAGGCCTAAACCATAAAAGTGAGTGCCAAATATTTGGGTTTAAGCTAATAAATTGTCTTTATTTTGGTGGGAATTATACGATGAGGAAATTGTTATGTATTGGCCAGTGATACAAAATGATTGAATCATTCATTTTTATTGAATTTAGAGTCCTGATACTATGACTTGTGTCATCCGACAAAGAGAGAAAAAACACACACACACACGATGTGTAATTCATTGATTCGTAATCGTATGGCGAATTCTTGTAACATAAAAGTTATTTTCGTTGACATGTTTGGTTTGCATGGCATATCATATTATTGTAACATATAGCATTTTAGTACCCTCGAGTGTCGTCTCATTTTAAAATGACCAAGTGTCAGAAACAAACAAACTATCCATATATACAAGAAAGAGACGTGCGCATGTGTCGGTGTGTGTGTGTGTGAAGGTTCAATGCGTTCATGATGTGAGCAAATGTCGTCATTTTAAAAAAAAATAGCCAGAAGATGAGGACATTCTTACATTTACGAATTTTTGGTGTCACCAAATGTCTTGGCAAGTGGCGTATTTTGTTAATTATAAAAGAATGTTGTCATGATATCGTCCAATCACTCGGGTGTTAGTACTATTATACAACACTTAATAACTAATTAGTAGGCACTTTCCTAATTATCTGTCATCATACCTTTACTGGTTCTTTTTCCCTCTCACTATTTGTAGTGTTTCTTCAATAACTTTGATATGGTAATACTAATTACAAACTGTTAACGTCGCAAAATAGCAGTTTGATTAGGATGTTCGGCTAGAATAGTTTACTCACATCTCAGACAGAAATTGAACATTTGATCTGATATTCAATAGTGTGACACTGTGATTCAATTTCGTTTTTTGCTCTTTCTATATTTGGAAATTCAAAACAGAAAATGGATTGGAGGTAAACAAAGCCATAAATTTTAAAGTTAATCATGTTTACTAATCTCATGTTTAAAGGCGTAATAAAAGCCATGATTATACGGAGCTAGCAAAAATACTTAAAACTATAACCGTAGTGATGTTCTCTCATAAAACAAAACATCAAATATTTCAAAAATGAAGCTTAGGTTGATCCGGACAAAAGCTCCACAAGTTTAGAGAGACATAAAAGGAGATCATAATATTACTCTCCCGGACACTGATTCATATGAGATGCGACATCGTCCTCAATCTAGCCGTTCCATCTGCAGACAATATCAAACAAACATGCAATACAGATTTTATAAACTTTTGCTTTGTGTTCTTCAAAAATCAATCAAACACCCTCTCGATAAATGGAGTAAACTAGTACCTTCCAGAGACCGTCGTTGAGGTAATGCATATTGTCCACACCGATTCCTTTGTTGATGCTCTTACTGTAGAACAACACACAATCAAAACCAAACAACACCAAGTCAGAAAACACTACTAGTAACCTAGCACAGAGACCAAATCAAGATTCCTACATTCCAGTTCCTATTGGAGTATCCGAGTATGGCACTGACAATGAATATTCACTTACATGTCCTTGGCTGACATTTTGGTGAAGCCTATTGCTAAGGCATGTTGCTTTCCTTCTGCATATATTGCCTATACAGATAAAGGTTCATGGTTTTAAGATCAGTGCAAACAAAAGAAAGATAGCATCCCCAGAAAGAGTGAATTTCTTTTGTGTTCATACCACTGGCCTCTCTGTGTCAACTTCTTCATCAAGAACGCCTCCAGGGGATGTAAGACCAGGACACATTATGTTTGCACCAGAGAAAACAAACTTTATTGCACCTCTATCAACTTGAAACCTCTTCATTATATTTGGGTCTGCAAATAAAAATCTAAGTTTCTTTATGTTGCTCTCTCTATGTGAAAATTACAGGAAAGCAGTGTTTTCAAGAACAGTGTTTACTCTTCCGGTAACACCATATACAAAATTAGTGTGCATGTCTAACCAACCATACAAGGACCTTTGTATATATATAATTCAGTGGCATGAGCTAAGCAAACGAAACACTAGCTTTACAAAAACCAAAACCTCGTAGATTCCAAAGACATACTATTCACCCTATATCTAGTATCTGAAGTTTGAACTAGGCAGTTTCTACTGCAGAACACAATACAACTAACAGATGATAACATCATTTGTTAGACTAAAGACCAAGGGATGTTATACTGTGATAAAGAGACCATATAGAATGGATGGTGTGAAGAAAGAGTGAGGTTACATTGATGAAGAAGTCGCAATGTTGGCATGTATGGCCCGTCGCGGATACAGAAAAAGAGGGGCACATTGTTGACAACAACTAGGGTAAGATGGTTTGGGCTGCACAAGAGAGATATAGTCATGAAGACTGTAAGTGGAGAAAGAAAGTTCAGAAAACATAGCACTGACATATGAGTTTTGTTAGATTACGAACCATTTCACTACAACGAGAGGAGACTTTTTAGGAAGTAGATCCTCCAACACTGTCTCAAGTCCCGGGTACTGCATCATTCAGATAAACATCTTTATATCCACACAAACTACATATAAATTTATAAGACAAGAGGCATACCTCCTCTTGAATACTCTGGCGAATCCTACGTTGAACCGAAGCTTTAACTTGGTTTTGTGATGAAACCTCCTCCAATGAAAACCTAATCGTCGTTAACATGTTACACAGTCGTTTAATATACAGACCACATAAACTTGACTGGATTAAATAAATAGATTTTAGACAAAGACTCAATAGGTAGGTGTAAGCATGCTAGTGGAGATAGATAAACACATAATATCAGTGATAGTTATGAGTTTAGGGAGTGTCAAGTTATGGCTACAAGCTAACAAAGACTACAAAGCCTACAACATAGTTTAACAAGTAAAACACAAAGTCAATCACGTAATGGAGAAGAGAGATACTTACTTCTTGAACATGTTGGATGATTCTGTCTTTGTCAATTTTACGAGATTGGTCGATGCAGCGAGCTGAAAATAGCCTGCAAGTGAACAAATGAATGGAAGTTAGTTGATAATAAAGATTTGTCCGAACATAACTTAAGTTATTGTCCGAGCAGAACAGGGGAGCTTACCGAGTGAGAGAGAGAGAGAGAGAGATGGGATACGGTGTCACGTTGACAGAGACAGAGGAGGAACTGATCGTCGAGAAAAACGACGATTGAATGGTAGTGAAGCCGAGCCGGTAAACGTTAGTGTTTCCGATCTAGTGTTCCCGTTTTCTACTAAAAACGACTGTGTTTTAACATAACCTAGGAAAAAAAACGAAAGACCCGCTGATTTGGATCCGATCAGATAAAGCCCAAATTCGTTTATAGCCCAATTATATTAGCCAGAGATAATCCAACTAACATATTCGATCGAACGGCTGAGAGAATTGGATGTAGGATTCCACTTTACACGTGGCAGCATAAGAAAAGTCTGTGATTACTAATCTCTCATATAACTGGGCCACTAACTGGGCCTTAACATTAAAAAAAACGGGTCAACCCGAAAACCGGTTCTCATCATTTCATCTCTCCCACTCCCCAGAGCATAGCTAAATCCTCTGGTAACCCTTCTCCAACGAGTCCATTTTCGTTCTTTGACTATGGCGTCTTGCTTACAAGCATCCGTGACTTCTCTGCTTCCACGCTCTTCTTCTTCATCCGGGAGAAGAAACTCGAAGGCCTTTCGCGTTAAAGCCGCTGCCAAAATCCCTATGCCTCCGATTAACCCTAACGATCCTTTCCTCTCCAAGCTCGCTTCCGTCGCCGCGCAGTCTCCGGAGAAACTTATCGCTCGGCCGTTAAACGCTGATACGCCGCCGTATCTTGATATCTTCGATTCGCCTCAGCTCATGTCTTCTCCTGCTCAGGTTGAACTCTATCTCTTCCAATTCCAATCCCTAGATGATAGATTCCTAAGCTATTTGCCTTAACTTAGTTATGTTCTTGAGTTTGGAAGTTTGACGGTTACATATTCGAAATTGAATTAAGCAATGATGTGATTTGATGCTGAAAGAATCTGTTGATTTGAAATTAGGTTGAAAGATCAGTGGCGTATAACGAGCACAGGCCAAGAACTCCTCCACCAGATTTGCCATCTATGCTTCTTGACGGGAGAATTGTTTACATTGGGATGCCTGTAAGTGTTATGTTGATTCTTATGGAACTTTGTTGTGTGTAGAGTGTAGACTGAGACTGATGTTGTGGTGCTTTTACTTTATTCAGCTGGTGCCGGCGGTTACGGAGTTGGTTGTTGCAGAGCTGATGTATCTTCAGTGGCTGGATCCTAAGGAGCCTATATACATTTACATCAACTCTACAGGGACTACTCGTGATGATGGCGAGACTGTGAGTTTTTTGAAACACTTTGTGAATGATTTATTTAGACTCGTTTAGTTTTTGTGAACGATGTTGAGTGAACAGGTTGGAATGGAATCAGAAGGTTTTGCGATCTATGATTCTTTGATGCAACTTAAAAACGAGGTAACGTTTAACTTTAAACATCTCGTGAAATGCAAGCATATAAGTAACAGACTTGAACAGTTTATTTTTTCTCCGAAGTGTTTTTGTGTGAGTGGGTTAGTTCTTATTTGTGCAGGTACATACAGTGTGTGTGGGAGCGGCCATAGGTCATGCATGTTTGTTACTTTCAGCGGGCACAAAGGGTAAACGGTTTATGATGCCACACTCCAAAGGTATATATATGAGTGCATTCTGGTTGACTGGATTGCTTATTTTTGGTAATCAAGAGATTCTTAAATTTTTTACCAACATGATGCAGCGATGATCCAACAGCCTCGTGTTCCTTCTTCTGGGTTGATGCCTGCTAGTGATGTCCTGATTCGTGCCAAAGAGGTTTGATGTTCCCTCTCTACACTTTGTATCCTGGAAATCTTATTTTAGCTGGGATATTTTCATGGTGTTCTGCTTATACGTTCATCCCTATACTACGTGGGGCTCGTAATATTACCCTTGAGGTGAAGAAACTGACTTGCACGTTCCTGGTTGCAATTGCAGGTTATAACAAACAGGGATATACTTGTGGGACTACTAGCAAAGCACACCGGGAATGTAAGTGGAAAACATTTCTTTCGCTTCATAACTTTGAATGGAGAAACTTTTTGGCTGATTAGAAACGTTCTAATTTGTTATTTAGTCCGTGGAGACTGTGGCTAACGTGATGAGAAGGCCATATTACATGGATGCACCAAAAGCTAAAGAATTCGGAGTCATTGACAAGGTAAGTTTAAGTGCTGTAAAGTACTATGTGAGGCTATCTATTGGTTTTAATCAGAACGTTAGTCTTTGATATTGATAAGATTTTTTGTTGTGTTTTTTCTTCTTATAACTTGGTCTCCGTTTGACTGACACTAAAGTTTGTAAACCTTTGTCACCAGATTCTTTGGCGTGGTCAAGAAAAGATTATTGCGGACGTTGTTCCTTCAGATGAATTCGATAAGAACGCTGGGATTAGAAGCGCAGAACGAGTTTAGTTTCAAATACTCTTACCTCAAAATCTCTGTAAGTGACACGCTCAGCTTTTTATCACTGCTCTTCATGTATGAATATTTCAAGAATAGGGAAAAATATTCTTTGGTCAGTTTGAGTAGCTAGCTAGCCAAACTGTTCTTTCAGTCACCGCTTACAAACAGTTTTTGCTATTTGAGGGCTAGCAGTCAAAGTTAGCATCTAGCAATCTGATAATTCATATAAGTTACCTGCAAATTTTAATACCAGATGATTCAACTCTTCATTTGCAGGTTTCAGTGTGGAGAAATATTCAATAGAATTACAAACTCCCTTGGTTGCGGGATTGCCTTGTTTCGAACCATTGGTAAATTGTCAATCATGCGGTTAGGAGAAACATATTAAAGATGATCTTCAAAAACTATGTGATGAAGTTGTAATGTGTTTCAAAAGCTTAAGTAAATGCAGTGTAGAACTCTTTTTTTTTTTTATCCCCTCCGATTTCAAATATTGGAAAATTTCAAACTGTCTTTTTCAATAAGCTTTTTAGGATTTGCATTGTCAGTTTCACTTTAACCACACTGAATTAACAACACGATTCATTAAAAGCTTGATTTAAAACTAAATAAATAGTACGTGCGGCATGTAATTACGTTCTTGATTGTATAGCTGCATGATAGTTAACCCAAAACACACTAAAATTTAACAAAATGAAAAATAAAACTTAAAAAAGCTCCGTTACCGGGAATCGAACCCGGGTCTCCTGGGTGAAAGCCAGATATCCTAACCGCTGGACGATAACGGATTTGTTGTTTGTTGGTATATCCAGCCTCTAATGAGCCGATATCATAAAGGCAAGCTAAAGTTTTCTACTTCTTTCCGAGATCTCTCTCTGACTCTTGAGACTTGAGTCAAGGCTGCTTGGGACTTAAACGGTGTTTTATGTTCTTGCTCTCTTTTTGAGGTCGCTAGCTAGACAAGTAAAACGTTAGGAATTAAAGAAAGTCTGTGAAATAGTTTTTGAGATAGTTTTACACTTCTTTTGAAGTGCCAATGCTTTACTAGTGTTGGTAAATAAAAAAAACTTGACTATCAATGAGTTTAGTCATTCCATGATGCACATTATTCTTATACAAAAGCAATATACATCAACTTCATTTTTTTTCATTATGAGAAGGCCAGAAACTAAACACAAGAAGATGGAACTTGTTGATCTCTCACAGGATCCACCAAAGAGAAAAACAAAGCAGCAGTTAACTAAGAAATTGAAAGTTAACACCATAGAGATAGCACAATCAGAAATCACCCATATCACCCATGTCATCAATTGCCTCACCAACAAGCAACCCACCCAATAAACCAGCTCCAAGTCCAAGCCCTAGTCCCATTCCAGCTCCTCCATTCTTCTTCGGTTTCTGCGGCTGACCACCGTAAGCTTGCTGTTGCGGGTAACCGTACGGACCCTGTGGCGGATATCCATAACCTGGACCCTGTGGTGGATACCCCGGATAACCTCCTTGCTGTGGAGGCGGATATCCACCTTGTTGTGGGTATGCACCGGGTGGCGGATACCCACCAGGCCCAGCTGGTGGATAACCACCGGGTCCACCAGGTGGCGGATATCCACCAGCCTGAGGGTAACCGTAAACACCTCCATGTTTATCATCATGTCCTGGAGGAGGCGGGTATGCAACCGAACCACCTTGTCCGGGCGGGTAAGCTGCGACGGGCTGATGATCCATAGACTTATGCTCCATACTCGATGAGCCAGGCGCGTGAGGATCACTCGAAGCACCGAAAGTATACTTCTCACCAAACTTGAAAGAGAATTTAAGAGATCCTTTTGTCTTCCCGTTAGGCAGCTTCACAGCATACGTCACCGTTTTCTCCTCCACGTCACCTTCCTTGTTCTTCTGATCCAAAAGCTCCTTCACCGGAACGCTAACCTCTCCGACTGGTTTATCACCGGCGATGGGACGATCAGCCACGATCTCAATGACGAGTGTGAGATGATTCTCACGCGCCGCAGCGTCATCGACTGTGAGCTTCATCTGATGCTTCCATTTAGGTTTCGTCCCGCAGTCTTTGTCCACTTTCGTCTTTTGCTTGGTCCTCACGTCACCGTTGAGTGAAACGACGGCGTATAAGTCTTGCTTACCGATCAGCTGAATGTCTTTGAGATCCTCTGCGGATATTAAAGTGAGATCCAATGGCCTACACTCCATGGTTACTAACAAGAGAAGATTGTTTTTTTTTTTATGTTGAGATAAGAGAAAGTGTAACGATGTGTATATATAGGAAAGTAAACTATGCATTTATGTTAAGAGTGGGTTTCGAAAGAAGCAAAAGGTTTTTTTTTTACACACACGGGATGAACACGTACAAGATAAAGAACGCGTTTTACTTTTTTTAGTATTAAGTTATTTTTCTAGAAGTAGTTTATTTGTTTCCTATTCCAAGTTTAACGTTAATTTAGTTTACTAGATACTTTAACTTTTACTCTAGAAGATGGGAATCTAAACGTTTCGTGATAAATTGATATTGCCATATCTGAACGTTTTAGAGATTGCCATATGAAATATATATGATGATGGTAAAATCTCATGCGTTTTTAAGAAGGTGAAATAAATGGAAGTGAAGATGCCATTATCACGTAAAATCTTAATTCTAACTCTCGTGGTTAAATGATAATAATGACATCTTTTTTTTTCTTGTCATTATCATTTAATCACGCGAGTCTGATAGATAGAATTAAGATTTGGAGTGATAGTATCGAAACTGAATTTCTTTGTTCACAAATATATAAATTGACTAGGTGATTTTCCCGTGCTCATGCACGGGTATAAATATTCATATTCATAAAAGTAAAATTTTATAATAATTGATTGATATTTAATTTTAGTTTTGAATAAATTTTATGACTTTGGATATATTATTGTCTGTTAAATTATCTTTTGGATTAATAGTCGATTTGGTTATCAATTTGGTATATTGGATAATATCTGTTTTTCGAATTCAACTATAATATTTTTTATTCTAAATATAATAAACTTTGATTATTTTCTTATTTTCATTTCGATTGGTTATTGCCTTAGATATGCCAATATATTATAGTTAAATTATGTATAACTTATATATATTGTGCTTAACATGAAATAAATAATAAACTGAAGTGTTTGATTCAAAATTACATAAATGAATATAATGATAATATTTTTAAGTCTCATGCATATATATAAATTCTACAAAAGAATTAAACTGTTATTGGTTAATATTTTTTTTCTTTTTAATATGCTTTGAGTCAACCTCTAATTTATATGTATAAAATTAAATAGATTATTATTATAACATTATATGTTCTTATTGTAGTTAGATGATTAATTTTGGATATAAATTAGATTAGTCGAGTCATTCATTTTGGAGTATATTGAGTTAAATATATTTTTAAATTAAAATTGAAGTATAATTACTTTTTATTTTAGTTAAGCCAAATCAAATTAGTTTTATTTATCGCTTAAATATACATGTATTTTCATAATATTTATTTACTCTTTATTTTAATTAAGTCAAATCAAATTAGTTTATTTATCGCTTAAATATATATGTATTTTCATAATATTTATGAAATCATATGTTGATTTCTAAAGAATATTAGAAAATAAAGTGTAACTGGTAAATTTTAAATGTTCATGAACATATATATTTTTATTATTTTGAAAATATATTTTATGTTATTTAAAAATATATATTAATGAGGGTATTACTATTTTGTGAACTTTCCTTTTTTATAAAGTCATATTACATACATATATTTTCGTTTTAAAATTAGTTTTAAAATTTTAGAAATATTTCCTTTTTATTATATATGTTATTGGAAAAAGGTAAAAAAGAAACTAAATAAAAAATTAATAATAATCTTAAAATCAAATAATTCATTAAGGGTATCTATGTAATCTTAACGTGAGCGCGATATGTTATACCATCTTTTATATGGTTTCTATTAATAATAGTTTTCACCAGTTATTTTTTTTATATAGATTAGACACGAACAGACATAGATGCTCTATGAAAAAATATTATCTAATCAACATTTAATCTAGTTTAATAGATTACTAACAAAAAAAGAAAAAAGCAAATTTCACTATAAAATAGAATTGATCTCCAATAATTTATTTTATATTTGATTCTAAAAAGTAATATTCTTAAACTTCATTTATTTTATTTTTCAAAAAGTTTTCATGAATTATTATATATTTTATATCAAACATGTATTTATTTAAAACTACATTATATTATATTAAAAATATAATTATAGGAGAAAAAAGAGAGAATCTTTTGAAAAGGAGAATAATCACGGAGAGCATCTTTGCTGGGTGTGTTTCCTTTAGTAATCAAGACACCAAAGCAATGCGCGTGGTATAATCCAGAAGTGTTTTATTGCTTAAACTCTCTCTCATTAGTTGGTTCTTGTTTTCTTGGTAGAATCATCTTTTACTTTCAACGATAACCTCGTCTCCCATACCTCGCGTGGCCCTCCCTAACGCACCACCATCCATATTTTCTGCAACTTTATTCTCCTCCATGCACACTTATATAGGGATTCGAACACATACGTTACATTACTCCACTCACTGGATCTGGACACCGAATGTAAATGACAAAACTGATTTCTCTTATTCCAATGCGTAAATCCATATAATAATACCGATGTATGAACTTTCTAAAATCTCATATCTTTAGTTTCTTTTAAACATTTATATTTGTGCACAACAAAGAAGGAAACAGCTGTTGGACTGTAACGCTCTAATTTGTTTTGAAGTTTTGTTTACCAAAATAATGCCAAAAATGTATTCATAAATAATTGAAAGTGATATACATAGTCAGAACTGAAACAGATAGGTTGCCTAACTTGCTGGTGCGTTAAATATCTCGGTCACTATCTACCATTAATTTTGACTAGCTAGTGGCTATGGAACCAAATTCAACTCTTCAGCCAGTAAACTAATCTAAATTCTGAATCAAGCAAATTCACATTAGAACACGGTTAAAAAATGTATGATCCATGCCTATTCCTTGTGTTGTAACAATTTGTAAATTTATATCATCAGTTTTAGGTTTTTCTTAAGTAAAATGATATCATCCTTTTTTTGACAAAAGGTATGATATCATATACTTTGTTGATATAGAAGATGTCTAACATATGAATTCAAACTTTCTGCTTTTTTTTTGTTTTTTTTTGTTTTTATTTGTATATATATATATATATATATATATATATAGAGAGAGAGAGAGAGAGTTGATCTAAAAAAATTGTATATATATGGGATGTGTACTAACTTATAATTTAATTAATTGTGCAATTAGGATCCCAACCTTTTGAGTTGAATGAAATGTTTATGAAAATTGAAATCAGTTTATTTTTGTTTTGCAAATTGTTTAGTACTCACTCATCACTTCATGATGTCATACATCATACTTATTATGTTTTTTTGGTAAAATCATACTGTTTTCTTTTTTGGACAAAAGGTAAGATATCATATATACTTTGTTGATATAGAAGATGTCTAATATATAAATCCAAACTCTCTGTATTTATTTTATTTTATTTGTATATATGGAATTGATGAAAAAAAATTGTATATATATATATATATGGGATTTGTACTAACTTATAATTAAATTAATTGTGCCATGAGGATCCCACTTTGAGCAAGAAAAGGAAAACAAGTGAACCCATGTTGTTTATGCTCTGTCTGAATAAGAGTCGGCTTCTTTGTTACAGTGTCGAGCAGGAAAAACCCAAAAAAAAAAAAACACAGAAAAATAAAAGAAAAAGAAAAAAAGGAGAATGTGATTGGTCTCTCTCTCTCTCTCTGTCTCTCGCTCGCTCTCCCGTCTATTACCTCTGCAATTTCTCTCGAAGCAAAACCCTAGTTTCAGTTTTTGGGGGCTTCCTTCTCTCACTGTGTAAGCAAAATCATATATAACACAAAGACTAAACACACTTGTGTTACATGTTAAATCTCTCGAATTTCGATCTTCTCTCAAAACAATATTCGTTCGATTTTGACTATTCTTGAGCTCTTTAGGTTCGATTCTCTGCTCAATAATTGATTGATCTCGTTGTGCAACTCTCTCTTAGCTTAATTGTTGTAGATGATCCAACATGTTTGTTTTGATTTAGGGTTTGTAATGAGTGCTAAAAGTTCTGATTTTTAAGTGATTGAGCTTACTGAAACAATGCAGGTTTAATTACAATGAGTGGTACTAACGAGCAAACTCGATCTGGCTCCGGCAACAACAACGGCGAGGGTATTATTGGGATTCCAGATGAGTTACGTTGCAAGAGATCAGATGGTAAACAGTGGAGATGCACTGCAATGTCCATGCCTGATAAGACTGTCTGTGAGAAGCACTACGTGCAAGCCAAGAAGCGTGCTGCTAACTCAGCTTCCCGTGCTAGCCAGAAGAAAGTTCAAAGGAGGAGCTCACCGTTGGGAGAAACAGATACTTATTCCGAAGGAAGAAACGATGATATTCTCGCGGTGATGCCTAGTAGCAACGGCTCCACCAAGTATGTTGGTGGTGGTGGTGGTGGTGGTGGTGGTGTTAGAGAGAAGAGACATGATAAGAGTGTGAGTAGATATGTTCCCGAGACGCCAGTGATGAGGAGTTTCTCTTCTGCACGTGTTGCTGTGGATTTAAATGATGATGCTGGAGTTTTTGAAGAGAGTTACAGATCGTATAGGACTCCACCATCTGCTGCTGCTACTGCTATGATGGAGCCGTCACGTGAGAGATCTCACCAAAGCATGAGTCCTATGGTACACTAGACAGTACTTGTACATGTGTTTGTTTGAAGAGCATTTTAAAGACTAAAGTAAATGTTTCTATGTGTTGTAGGAATACTCAGGAGAAAGCACAGATGTGTCTGAAGAGTCTTTGGGGCAAACTTGTCATCATTGCCTGAGAAAAGATAGAGAGAGGATCATATCTTGCCTCAAGTGTAATCAAAGAGCCTTCTGCGACATTTGTATATCGACACAGTGAGTTTTCTTTTTCTTTTCTATTCTGTTTATATCTAGGAGTTATGTAAACCTCTGGTAGAAAGAGTTAACGGTACAGATGATGTCTCATGCTTTGTAAGGTACTCGGAGATATCACTTGAAGAAGTCGAGAAAGTTTGCCCTGGGTGCCGTGGTTTGTGTGATTGCAAACACTGTCTGCGTTCTGATAATACAATAAAGGTTTGAAGTTGTATATCCACAGATTTTACTCCGTTGGTACCTATCTTTAGGATAAGTTTTAGGACAATGAGATGTCTCTTTGTGGAAACTTTGCAGGTACGAATCCAGGCAGTACCCGTTTTGGAGAAGTTGCAGTATCTATATCGTCTATTGTCAGCTGTCCTTCCAGTGATAAAGCAGATCCATCTTGATCAATGTACAGAATTAGAACTAGAGAAGAAGCTTCGTGGTGAGCCTATCTTTTATTTACAGTGACGATTGATGAATTTTATAGTACTTACTATATTTGAGTTTCAACACTAGTTTGTTCTACACTGCAGGAGCTGAGATTGATCTTGTCAGGGCAAGACTGAAAGCAGAGGACCAGATGTGCTGGTATCTCTTACATACCCTTCTACTTACTGCAACTATGTTTTTTGGGCACATGTTCTGAATTAGGGTTTGTATTCTATACAGCAACGTGTGTCAAGTACCAGTTGTTGACTACTACCGTCGTTGTCCTAACTGCTCTTATGACTTGTGTCTGAGATGCTGTCAAGATCTACGCGCTGAGTCTTCGGTTGAGATTGGTGGGATTAGCCAAACCAGAGGAGAGAGAACAGGAGTTCCTAAACTAAAACTGAACTTTTCAAACAAGTTTCCTGAATGGGAAGCCAACAGTGATGGGAGCATCCCTTGCCCTTCTAAGGAATATGGAGGCTGCGGTTCCAAGTCTTTGAACCTCGCTCGGATTTTCAAGATGAATTGGGTTGCAAAGCTTGTGAAAAATGCAGAGGAGATGGTTAACGGCTGCAAGGTATCTGATCTTTGTAGCCCTGAGTTGTGTGATTCAAGATTCTGCAGACTTTCTGAGAGAGAGGATAGCAGCGACAACTTTGTGTACAGCCCGTCACTTGAAACAGTTAAATCTGATGGAGTAGCTATTATTGAGAAACAATGGTCAGAGGGTCGGCTTGTTATTGTGAAAAGGGTACTTGATGAGTCATCTTCCTCTAGCTGGGATCCTGAGACTATCTGGAGGGATATAAACGAGATTTCAGATGAGAGATTGATAGAACATGATCCATTCTTGAAGGCTATAAATTGCTCGGATGGGTCAGAGGTAAATTTTGCTTTGTTATCTTATATCTTAATATTGGTGTCACAGACTCATTAGTCTTGATAACTTGATTCACAGGTTGAGGTAAGGCTTGGAGATTTTACAAAAGCATATAGAGATGGAAGAAAAGAGACAGGTGCTCCTCTATCGTGGAAGTTAAAGGACTGGCCGAGCCCAAGTGCTTCCGAGGAGTTCATTTTCTGTCAGAGACCTGAGTTTATCAGAAGATTTCCGTTTCTTGAGTACATACATCCCCGGTTAGGCCTTCTGAACGTTGCAGCCAAGATGCCTCATTACTCGCTCCAAAACGATTCTGGTCCAAAGGTTATTTTGGCTTGTGGGACGTATAAAGAAACTGATGCTAGCGATTCGTTGACTAGTATTCACTACAGCATGCGTGACATGGTACATTACTTAGAAGCTGGTGCACACTTTTTCTTTTTTTGGATTCAAGTTATGTAATGATTGAGTTTTTGAAACTGTTGATCAGGTATACCTCTTGGTGCACACAACTGAAGGAACAAAACTCGAAAGTGTGAGAGAGACAAATCACAGTCCAAGAGAACCTGATGAGAAGATGGGAGAAAATGAGTCACTTCTTAGTCCCGAGGAAAAAATAATGAACGGAGAGTTACATGATCTATCGCATGGTACAGCAAGTACGGAGAAGAATGAACCTGAGATGATGTTGAGTGTGAATCCAGAGAGTAACAACCTGGAATCTTCTTGCACGTCTTCATGTGCAGGAGGAGTTCAGTGGGATGTCTTCAGGCGCCAAGACGTCCCAAAGCTGGCCGAGTATTTGCAGAGAACATTTCAGAAGCCTGATGATAGTCTTAAGTGTGATTTTGTGAGTATTTTCTGCATAATCAAATATATCAAAATGAGAAAGTTGTCTTTTTGTATGTCGGAATGATTGACTTTCCAAGTTTGCTTACGTGGGTTTCAGGTGTCACGTCCGTTGTATGAAGGATTGTTCTTAAATGAACACCACAAGAGACAACTAAAAGATGAGTTTGGTAAGAACACAGAACATTCAGTTTCCCTGTTCCATTTCCAAACGTTTATTGTCTCGAAACATGAGAGATGGCTCCTGCTATTGTTTCAGGAATTGAGCCGTGGACGTTTGAGCAACATCGTGGTGAGGCTATCTTCATTCCAGCTGGATGTCCATTCCAATTCAGAAATCTTGAGGTAACTAATATATATTTGTGCAACATAGGTATATAATGAGTTTCTCTTCCCTTGCATTTACTAAGAAACTAAATTTCTCTCGTATACACTTCTCAGTCAAATGTTCAGGTGGCACTCGACTTCTTGTGCCCTGAAAGCGTTGGAGAGTCAGCAAGACTAGCTGAAGAGATCCGGTGTTTACCGAAGGACCACAAAGCAAAACCTCAGATTCTAGAGGTAAGAAAACTATGAAACCGCCTTCCCTTAGGACACACACCATTACCATCTCAATGTCTTCAGTTCTAAAATCCTTGAAAATGTTTTGTGTTTTAATATCAGATAGGGAAGATATCGTTATACGCAGCTAGCTCAGCAATCAGAGAGGTGCAGAAACTGATCTTGAATCCAGAGTAAGTCAAAAGAATTTAAGCCATATCTAATTGCAGGAGTCTGAAGTGAAACTGAACTGACAATAATTATGTTTTTTGGAAATTTGGTTTCATTGTTATGACTACAAAAGAGTTGGAGCAGAGCTTGGTTTTGAGGACCCTAACCTAACGAAAGCAGTCTCCAACAACTTGGATAAGGTAATCAAGCGGCCACAGCAAATCAGCTGCACTTGATCAGGACAAGATTTGTACAGACTTATTACCATTGTTGTGACATTAGTCTAAACTACTAATACTACGATTCAGGATTTGTATGTATCTGTGTATATGCTTTACAAATTATATGCATGAAGCATCACTATTCCACTTCAATTCTCTGGATGTAGACCATAATATAAGTCACTTCAAATAACTCATTAAACCAACAAAAAAAAAACTGTATAACAAAGAAGATTGGTATGGAGTAAACCCTTTAGTTTAAAAATCTTTACTTCTGTACACATATTCTATACCAAGGCCAAACCTCTCACAACCAGCACCCAAACTTTTCAGACTTGAGTTTCTGAAGCTCCTCTGCTACGTTTAAGTGAAAGCTTCAAGACAATAGGTGGAAGTTTAGGACGTTCAGTTACCTCCAGCTTTGAATCCTGTCCTCCATCTAAGGCCTTACACGCAGTTGTTGCTCCATTAAGAGGAAGGCTAGGCTTTGAATCCTCTATTTGATCCAAAGGCTTACTTGCTGTTGCTTTGCTCTCATCTTCTCCTCTTTGCTCCAAACCTGGACTCCCATTGTCTAGCAAAGTTTGTGCTCTGTCACACGCCTTAGCTGTGCGGTTTTTCTTCGTAGAACTTGCACATTTTCTTGGTTTAACCGTGCTTTTCATTGCTTTGGTTATAAGAAAGCTGGATTCAAGAGCTTCCAGAGCCCGGGTGGTTAATGGTCGCTTTCTTGTGCTCTGTCTTCTAGGAGCATCTGTATTTTCGTGCTGTTGTTGTTCTGCTGGACCAAGTTCTTGAGTAGTTCCCAGATCATTGGAAGAAGAACTGTTAGAGCCTGGAATGGAAGGGAGCTCAACTGCTTGCTCTTGTTTAGAAACAATGGTAGTACGTTGTTTTTCTGAGTCAGACACTGAACAGAACCCGTTTGGTTCTCGTTCTGATGAAATGACTTCATGTGCTGTTCTTATCTCCTTTGGAGAGCACTTGTTGTCTACACCGGAGATCAAACTTAACCCATTCGGTTTGATCTCTGACATTTCTTGGATCTTAACAAGCGCAGAAGACGGTCCACTTCCAGTCTTTTTTGATTGACCAGACTTTAAGTACATATAATCAACCGGTGACACGCTTTGATATCTCTCTTTGTCTTCATTCACCTCTCCACGAGTGCCGTTTTGGTGTTGTACAGCGCATAAACTTAAGTGGTCTGCTTCAGGACATACCGTGCTCTTTATCTCATCACCCGGTAAATGTTTGAAGACTGAATTTTCTCTTGAAGGACTTTTCTCCCTCCTCATGCAAGCACTGAGTCGTCTCCGTTTCAACGATGGAGCAGAACTTACTGAACTATCATTACTTTCTGCTCGTTGGTTAGACCTATGCTTGATCAGCCTCTTTGATGGATCCTTAACCTTCTCCAAAGTCTCCTCCTCCTGCTTTATACTAAAATCTTCTTCTAAACGAGTCTTTGGCTCAGAACAAACTAAAGGTTCTGNATGCAAGCACTGAGTCGTCTCCGTTTCAACGATGGAGCAGAACTTACTGAACTATCATTACTTTCTGCTCGTTGGTTAGACCTATGCTTGATCAGCCTCTTTGATGGATCCTTAACCTTCTCCAAAGTCTCCTCCTCCTGCTTTATACTAAAATCTTCTTCTAAACGAGTCTTTGGCTCAGAACAAACTAAAGGTTCTGCATTCAGATTTCGTGAATCACACAACTTCCCTCCTGCAACCAAACTAGTATCCACAACAGTGAACTTCATTTGGAGAGTTCCTCGGTTAGAACATGGAGACTTTAGGTAACGATGTCGTTGTTTATCAGATGGTGAAGACACTTCATCTGATTGGTCAGAAGAGTTCTCTGTAACAACAAACTCATTGGCCTTTGCTTGCTTTATCTCTCCTCCTGCTTCAAACTCAAGAAGCTCAGGCTCCATAGCAACCTTTGTTAGAATGTCACTGACGGAATCAAAGTAATGAGCGCCTTTAACAAGCTCTCCTCTTGTAAACTGTTTCACGCCAGGGACAAGGAAAACAATATTATCCTTAGATGTAAAATAGCTTCGTTCCTTAGGCTGCTCTGAATTCCATCCTCTCGCTAGCAAACGCGGCCACACAGCTTCCCAGAAGATATCATTGCAACGAGCTTTGCTTAGACGCGAACTTCCAGTTAACTGATTTATTATGTCAGCAGATGTGAGTGAAGTGTACTCCACTAAGCCCGAGACTGAAGACGATTTTGAAGAAACTGTAAACCATGGTTTTGTTTTCACTGGTCCTGCTGTAAGAAGCGTGAGATCTTCTTTTCTTTTACCAATCCCCACAGCGTCTACCAGAAGCCTGAGACCCACAAGATCCTTCACCGCGCTTACGTATTTCTCCAAAGTGATGTTCCCTTCAGCAAATGACTTTGAGACCTACCAATATGGTAATAAGATTAATGACCAAAACCATATATACAGTTGTTAAGATGTAAACAAGACTCACATTCACAAGCATCTGTTTCTGAGATTCATCAGAGATAGAAGGAATCAAACGGGATAACAACAGCTGTTGCCTCCAACCTGAATAGAGCTTCTTTCCATATGCACATCTCCGTCTCCGCTTCTTGCGAGGATCAGACCAGCTATGGTAACTAGCGGAGTTATAGAACTTCCCATAGTAAAACAACACTATCTCTCCTGTTCCTTTGCTCTCCATGAACTTCTTCAACTGAGTAAAGTTCTTCCCGAATGTATACAGACCAAGAACAAAGCTTGCAACCTCATGATCTTCCCAAGAACTGGATGGTATCTCTGGAACAGCCTCAGGACTCAATCTCTGCTTCTTGGTGTCAGTCTCACCTCTGGTCTTGGCAGAGCAACGACTTCTTTTAGCTCTTAAGGATTTCAAAGACTGGTTCATATCAATACTATCATCATCTCCATTTCCTTGACCTTTTTGATGCTTGTCTATCCACATTACTTGGACAGGTTGTCCAACGAGAAAGGAATATGAGGAATCATCCAAAGCTAGAGGAGTCGAAAGAAACAATGCACGTTTAGATGCAGACATCAAAGGAGGAATCTCGGCCTGAAACTCCTCTCCAACACGAGGCTCAACTTTTGGATCTCCACATGCAAATTTAACATCAGAGGAAGCGTCCATAATATTGTTTTCCGCATCCATTAGAAGAACCATTCTTGAGTTTAGAAAAAACCTGGACGAACTTATCTGCATAAATCCACAAAAGAAGTGCATTTTCAGTATTGAATCTTAATTGTTTCACTGACTACACTGCTATAGAAACCTTTAAGTTCATACAAACCATAAACATCTTATCCAATCAAATTGAAATGCAGATATATTACAAGATCTGAAAACCCCATTGCCCAAACGTTTCAAGCCAAATATAAATATGAGATTAACAAGAAGCAAAAACACTAGAGATTAAAGATCCAACCTAGAGATTCATTAGCCTTTAAGTATGAACATTGAAGATAACAACTAAAGAATGAAAAGTAAAAACTAACCTCAAACATATACATGCATTGTCTAAGAACAACACAATATGGTAAAGTATAAAGCTCTAATATATTAGATCACAGCATAAAAAAAACTGAAGATTCAGCTACTTCAGATCGTGAGAGAGATACAAAATACATTCGATTAAGTCCCAAGACATGATCACTGGAAACAAACACAAAGACCTAACAAAACCCAGAAACATAAAAGGACAAAAGCTAAAAGTTTTGAGAGCAGCCCAGTTCCATGAGAACAGAGACTCAGATTTATAATCAGACATGATCAAAACAAAACCTGACCCATCAACAACAACATGAAAAATCACAACGATCTCGTTACGGATTAACCAACAAGATGAAGGGTACTGTAAGAAAAGCAGCACAAAGTCGAAAACTTTACGCAGAGACACAAAAAAAAAAAACGTTGAAACACGACAAAGTTCTGTACTTGATGTAATAAAAAGGAGGAGGACTCTAATCTCCCCGATTGTTTGTTTCCTCTGACATGAACCAGTAACGTTGCAACACAAAGGGAACCCAGAAAGAAAGAGGAGGAACGAAAACGTGTATTGACAAACACGTCAAGGGAAGATAGATTTGATAACCTGGAGTTTAGTTTCTGTCTGAAACTTTTGAGCAATGTTGGAGTTTTGTGGTGTGCTATGAGATTGTGAAGTTGGTAATGGAAAGCCAAAGAAGATCCGAACAAAGTATCGTGTTTTGGGAGAGAAAACGAGCACTGGTCGCTGTTTCAACACCAAGTCTTCAAGAGAAGAATGAAAAACACAAAGGTGAGAAGAATATATAAGTCGTATATATTATATAAAGATTATTTTTTGATAATGCATTTTCTTGGAATTTCATTGCCTTTTAAAAAACCATAAGGGTTTGGAGTTATTATTGTTTTCAGTAAAAGTATTAAAAATATATTGAAAGTTGTGGATGTGCTTTGTTTGATTATCATTTTTGATGTGTTTCAACAATGTTTGTTTACAAAATATATTGTATAGTTTATGCTAATGTAGTTTTTTAGATATACTATCAACTGATTCTGTCAGCCATGAAATTTATAGATTTAATGCTATAAAGGTGACTGATTATGATGTTATCTGAAGCGAGTTTGGAATATTTTTTGACTAAACTATAAATAATTAGATTTTATACACATAATTACTATGTAAATTATATGGGCTGAATCTCAAAGTCAGAAAATTATGTATACATGTGGGAATAAAACATATAATTACTATGTAATTATATGGGCCGAATCTCAAATTTAAAATTTTTACATAGTTGTAATTTTGTTTAAGGTAAATTTGGATTTTTACATGTAATTTCAAGGTTTCGTCTACCAGTTGATCACAACCATGTGGATTTCATATTAATAGATATAATCTGAGATATGATTAGTATAAGTGTATAACTAGGTTTATGTAAGGGCATCAGTATTGATAATAACTGATAGGGTTTCTTAACAAAAATTAAATCATTAAGTAATAATTAGAAAAAGAGAGAGAGTATAGAAAAATAGATAATAATTCTTCCTAAAAAGACTATCAAAGAATATAGAAAAATGGATAAGTAATTCTTCCCAAAAAGACTATCACAAAACAAATTAAGAGACTACTTAAATATTTACATTCTAATTACAGAAATAAAATATGAATATAACAATTTAAAGACATCAATCTTGAAGAGATTTACCAATGCAAATGCTCTAACACTCTGACCACTTCATGTAACACGTCTAACACTTTTTTTGTTCTACCACACGGCTAACACTATGTCGATAGGTCTATCTATTTAACTAGCCCACAGCCAGTGGCAGTCTTTAGTCGGGACGTTACAATCCATACGTGTATTAGTCCCGAATACCACATTTTTACTATTGCTTCACGCCTTAACCTTCTGATTCGATTACTTTTGAATGTACTTTGTGGCTTCAGATTTAATACTGGGCCAAAGGCAGAAGGTTCCATGAATGAGAAAGAGCAGGGCTATAATATCAGTTTTCTTCTGTAGTGACCTCTAAAAAGGTTGTTTTGGCTGTATAAATGAATGATCTAAATGAGAATTAGAAAACATGCATACCATAATTTCTTTATTCCAGAAGAAAAACGGTGTATCATCAATTTACAAAGTTATGATAGTTTAGCTTAGTTTGAGGTTCAAATACTTGGTATGAAACTAGAAAAGGTGATATTGGCAAAAAAAATGTATTAGAAAAGGTGATTCTTAGTCAAATTAGTGATGTAGACAAAAAAAAAAATTAATTTCAACTCTCAAAGTAAATAAACTTGCTATAATAAAAATATGTTTATTTGATGGATAGTACTGTGACAAAATAATAGTGATTATTTGCATAATTCATATATATATTTCCAAAAATAACATACTCCCTCTGTTCCTAAAATATTTATATTCTATTTTTTTCACACTTTTTAATAAAACACAATAAATTTGCATAGTTTTTTGTATTTATCTTCTTTCTATAATTTTAAGCCAATCAAAAATCAATTAGTGCAATTAAGTTTTTTGAAGTTTACAATTATTTAATAAAATATACATTGAAAATGTAAAAAATGGATTTTTTAGAAACAAATTTTTTTTCTAGAATATGTATCTTGAAGGAACGGAGGGAGTATACTGTAGGTATATAATTTAAAAAGATATAAATGTTATATTTTTATTTCGGGAAACTATTATTTTGTATATAGTAAAAAAAAAAAACATATCACCAATGGATTAAAAACAACAAAAAAAACATTAAGCTGCGCTTCTTCGCCCTCACAGATTCTTCACCTTAGAAAGAAAAAGACCCAATCACATTATTTCCCCAGATCCAATCAATGCCTTCTCTAATTTAGGGTTCTCTCCAATCCCTAAATTCCTCAAGCTCCCACCAATCTCATCTCGATTCTCGATCATCGAGCCCCCCTACTCCTCGAATTCAACATCAGGAGCCGCGAATTCTTCAGCTAGGTTCGGGGAAGTTGAGTAATTTCTCATCTCGTTGTAGATCGTGATTTGGGAATTTAGGGTTTCGGTTGCTAGTGTATCGAATTGGGACTCTCTGCATGTTGTAAGCCTTAAAGTCGGAAGCTTTCGAAGTTTGTAGGGTTTTAGTTATCTGTGGATTGTTGAGAGTTTGTAACTTTATAAAGACTGTGGAGGGGGGGATGTTTGGTTCTACAATGGATAATAGCCGTGGAAACAGTGCTGCGGCAGGGCAGATACTTACTCCTACACGGTTCGTGTGGCCTTATGGAGGTAGAAGGGTTTACCTAAGCGGATCTTTCACTAGGTGAGATGAATGAGCTGGAGCTAGGATTGTTTACTTTTTTTTTTTTTTTTTACTATTGTTTTTGTGGTTTATTCGATACATTTTGTGTTTTTTACAGGTGGACAGAACATGTG